CGCATTGCTAGAAGAGAAAGAGAGCCATAGTTTCCGCTCTCTGCTATCGTGGAACGTTTTTGGCATTCCCGATGAAGACCACTCTAAATGCAGCACGGCGGCCCCCTTCATTTGCATAAAAATGTAACCTGCTGAACTTTTTCACCGCACTGCAAGCCATCATGCACCGCGCAGTGCGGCAGAGCTGTCCTTTAACATTAATAGGATGCGTCATTTGAGTTCCATTGAGTTCGTTTGATGCTCACAATTCTGTTCTTTTGTGCTTCATTAATTCCAGTTTTGTTACCAAATTAAAATAAGCCTAAACGAATAAATGAAAACCAAGCAAGAACACGGACTATTTCGTTCATAACTGTTGTCAGCAGATTGCCTGGTTGGTCCATCAAGCTTGAAACGACCCAGTCACAAGTAAGAGTGATATCTGGGGTGAATGTTTTATGAATGTATGTATGAATGGCCAACACGTGAGAGCTGTAGAGTCACGCTGCTGTGTCGTCACGCCTCGCAGAGGTAGTGAGGTAGTGTGTGTGAAACAGGCCTAATGAATCTGCACATGGACAAGTATTACTAAGATTTACGTAAACATCTTGGTTAACCAAGGGGCAACTTTCAGGATCTGTGCATTGCAAGCTTTGTGGAAGATATTTTGCCATTCAAACAGTGAAGAAGACGAAGTAGCAAACCAAATGAAAGAGGAAAAACGCACCACTGCTGCATCACACACCGAGACTTGCCTAACTAGCTTCCTCACCGCGAGTCACACAGTACGGCTGGCTAAACAAACATCTAATGCTGCAGCTGCTTTAAGAAATGCTGAGCTGACTGCTGAGGTGCTCTCAGTGAACATATACAGTGGCGTTTGTACTCTGGGTTCTCTGGGTAGAGTGAACAGACTCTCTGGGGCAGATTTCCACAGACGGGTCAAATTACAGCCGTTCTACTTGAACTGCATTCTGACTTATTAGTCATGAGTGCTTGTAATGTTTTAATAAAGATATGATGTAGTTTTATCCCTCTCAGAACAGCTCAGTTGTCTGTATGCTTGGTGCTATTGATAGAATTCATGGTATTTTCAAATATATCGCAGTGTTATGGTATTAGGTGATACCAATGTTTCGCGTTAATAAGGTTAATGAACCCGTGTGTCCCGAGTTTCCTAATTGTAAAGGATTAAAAACAAAACACTAGACAGGAACATCATCATGATCAAATATACAGATAACAATATCACTAAAACCAGTCATGGGTTTAATTTGGGATCTTAATGCCACAATATGCTGGTATAGATTGCATTTCACCCAGCGCTACACACTAAAAATAAAATGGTTCTTCGATGGTTCTTTAGTAAAGAAAATGGTCCTATAGGGAACGATGAACACTCAAAGAACCCTTTGCATGATTTCTTCAGATTGATGGAAAATGTGCTGAAGATGGTTCTATAGAGGACCTTTTTGAAAAGGGTTGTATGTAGAACCAAAAAGCGTTCTTCTATCATTATGATGCTAAGCTTGTAACAAGAGAAGAACCCTTTTAGTTACTATATACAACCCTTTTCAACAAGGCGCTTTATAGAACCATCTTCAGCACGTTCTCCATCAGTCAGAAGAACCCCTTCGTTATGATGATTAATAGATTGGTTCTTCAAGGGTTCTTTAGTAAAGAAAGTGGTTTTATATAGAACCAGGAACACTCAAAGAACCCCTTGCATGATTAAAGCGTCTTTTACGTTGATGGAGAACGTGCTGTAGATGGTTCTATATAGGACCTTGTAGAAAAGGGTTCTATGTAGAACAAAAAGCGTTCTTCTGTTGGTACCATGTCAAGCTTGTGAAATATATATATATATATATATATATATATATATATATATATATATATATATATATATACATATATAAGATATATATTCAGTTTCAAGGCGTAACACAGTCGCATTATGTCGCAATATAACAAGCATACAATGCTAGTATTTTGTCTGTGTCACTCATATTTGTGATGTAATGATGCACTTCGTACTTTACTAAAGAATCATAATCAAATCGTCACAGATTTCCGCCTCTATTCCTGCCCCCATTTCGGGAATTTCGGAAGTGGGTGAGGCAAAAATGGAGAAGGACAAATGAATCAAATGCTTTAAAACTGTGCCGTGTCCCCTTCCTCTTTTAGTCCACATTTCACACTCTACGCTCTCCCCTTTCTCCCTCCTCTCTTCTCTCCCCGACCCCTCTGTCTCTCTCTTACTTTATTTCCCTACAACTTTCCCTTCTCCGTTTGTTTTTCTTTCCTCTCGTTCCCCTCTTCCCAGTCGTTTTTTGGCCTTTCATAAAAACCCTGTTCCTGGCCCATGTTCCTCAGTCATCACTCACTTTTTTCCACCTCCTCTTTTCCCTGCTGTTCTCTGGCTTTTTTGGACCGGCCCACAAAGATACTTTTTGAGAAAATGTCTTACTGTAATTGTTGTCAGATGATATAGAGGGAGGTACAGGACACTAGAGAGAGAGGGAGCGAGGGAGAGGACTGAAGAGATGAAAGGAGAAGTACGAGGAGGGAGTGGAGAGGAGCAGAAATATCGAAAGTGGGAAAAGGCAGAAAATGTGGCGGGCTGCTATGACAACACTGTTGCAGTAAAGTAAACAGAGAGTGTGTGCAGGGCTTCATGCAGAGGTCTGTCCGTCCGTTTTTCCTTCCTTCCACATACTTTTATATTTCACGCGAGGGATGGAGTTTACAGGCCTGTGTGAACGTGTGTGTGGGCGTTCGTTTTTGTGCGTTTTCAGGACAAAACTGTTCCGACTTCTGTGAAAAACGTTAACTTTCACACTTATAAATGATGTTTCTTCAAGGGTTCTTTAGTAAAGAAATTGGTTCTGTATAGAATCAAGAAAACTCAAAGAACCCTATGCATGATTAGGCCTAGAGGGTGTTTTGTAAGGTGAAATGGTTCTTCAGATTGCTGGAGAATGTGTTATATATGGTTCTATATAGCACCAAAAAGGGTTCTTCTATTGTAACAAGCTTGACATCGTCACAGCAGAAGAACCCATTTGGTGCTATATAAAACCATATTAATCTGAAGAACTTTCACCATTCAGAGAACCCTTTAATTTTAAGGTTTCTCTGAGTGTTCATGGTTCTATATAGACCCATTTTCTTTACAAAAGAACCCTTGAAGAACCATCATTTTTAAGTGTGTGCTGTAAAGGCCAAAAAATCAATTTGTTTAATACTGTTTTTTGGTTCCTAGGGTTAAAATTAGAGTTTGGTTTAGGGCTAACTTTAAAAAATTACCATTATATACACAGTTTCACGCATATGTAACATATTGTTGCTGTCCAAAGTTTTATATACAGTACCAGTGAATGGTTTTTCTTTATTTTTAATAAAGTTCTACATTGTAGATTAATATTGAAGGCATCAAAACTACGAAGGACCACAGTTCGATACAGAACTATAGAACTGTGTACCAGCACTGCCTCCACACAACACAGCTGACAGCCTCAAACACATTAAGAACACAAGGAATTCCACAGATTAACTGTTGACAAGGCACACCTGTTAACTGAAAACCATTCCAGGTGACCTCATTAAGCTGATTTAAAGAATCTAAAGTATAAAACATTCTGGTTTGTTTAACACTTTCTTGTTTACTACATAATTCCGTTGGTGTTCCTTCATGGTTTTGATGTCTTCAGTATTATTTATACAATGTAGAAAATAATAAAAATAAAGAAAAACCATTAAATGAGAAGGTCCAAACTTTTGACTGGTACTGTATGTACAACTAACAACTAAAAAAATCACATTTTTCAGTCTCTACTGTGTCCACTTTTTGCTTCCATTCCTTTTGAGAGACTTGCTTTTACATTTTCAAAGAACTTCAGGGATATTTCCAAAGTTCATACCTCCAAAGTTCAGTCTGAGAAGTTGGTTGATCATTTTGTGAAGTAATCAAACACATTCAGTGGTCTTGAGGTCTGCACTCTGGGGTGGTCAGTCCATTGTTCAGCTTCTTTGTTTGATGTGTCCGTCTCCTTTTCTCAGTGAGGTTCTTCTTGACAGCTACACATCCTTTCAGACCCACAGCGCTGAGTCGTCTTCTCACAGTGGAAGGATGGACAGAAACACCTGTGGATGTTTTCAGATCTGAAGCAGCTTGATTTTCTCCTCTCTCTCAAAGATGAGAGCTTAAAGTGCTGTTTATCTGATGGGGGCAGTTTTGATGGTCTACCAGGTCTTCCAGGTGGTTGTTAGGAGGCACATTTTCTCTGGAGCTTTTAATACATTTTGAACTCCAGTTTTGAAAACTCCTGTTTGTCCACAGTTGTTAATATATTTAGTTATTGAGGCTTCTGTCATGTTCTGTTTTCTGTATCAACATTAAAGAATGGATTAATTAAATACTGAAAGATTTGGCATTTATACTTAGTGTTGGAGGCTTTTGTGTCATTTTTTTGTTAAATACATGTTTCCCGCTTTTTTCTGAAGCTGAAATCTTGCACTTAATGGCCATTTTGACTGGAAACTGAATACATGTAAGGGTGGTATCTGACTTTTATAGACTACTGCACTACTGTATGCATATAAAATGCGTATGGGACATACTATTGTTACACATAAGTACTTACGTATGTAGTTAAGACATATGGTGCTTGTTATGTGTCCTGACGCAGTGTTTTGTACGTGTGAGTTTTAAGGTGGGAGTTTACAGGTCAGCATAACTGTTGAAAAGGTCAGAACAACCGTTGGGCCTGCAGGAAGTTTTTCACAGTCCCTGGAAAACACAACAGGAAACTGTGTCTGTGTATCTGAGAGGAACAAGCTGCCAGCATTTCACCAGCACATTCTTTCTCCCTCTCTCTCGCTCTCTCTCGCTCTCTCGCTCTCTCCTCTCCATGTGAACGATCTCCATTAGTATAATATTTATGTTACGTTTCTGCTCTGAGGCTCTGTAAACTCCAGTGTGTCTGTATATATGACGTTTTTATCTCTCTGTCTCTCAGGGTTCGGAGGCGGTGGAGGACTGTGTACAGGGGGCGCTGTCCTCCCTCTATCCCCCATTTGAGAGCACTGCCCCTCCTCTGCTCTCCCAGGTCAGTGCATCTCTGTCCCTCATCTTACCAAGGTGGCTTTGTTCCTGGAATGCTACAAACTGCTGGCTTATCTTTTAGACTTTAATCGTAAAGTCTCAAAGAATGCAGTGTAAAATATTTCAAATATTTGTATGATACTAAAATTGAGTGTTAGATTAAACATCCAGCAAAGATTGAATGGAAAAAAATCAGGATAGAAATATAATAAAAAAACATAGCTCACTTTTCAGACCTATGTGAGAACTTGTTTTGCGCCCAGGTAATGCTGCCGTGGCCAGTTGAACGAACAAGCGAAAGAAGGGACAGATCACAGACAGGCAGATGAACAAGTTTGATAGATCAGTTGTTTGCTAGGTTAGCTTTCGCTTGGTGGTTAGCTTACGCTCTGTAATCTTGTCCGACTCAAAACACAGAAAGACCAGAGGGGAACACAATTTTGTAACCCCTTAAATTGCCAGGGGCCACTGGCAGGCCCAAAGGACCTGCCCCAGATGGAGGGGTTGAAGTACTTTGGGGTCATGTTCACGAGTGATGGAAGAGGGAGTGTAAGATCAGCCCCAGGCTGGGACAGGAGGCAGCAGCAATGCGGTCACTGTACTGGAATGTAGTGATGAAGAGGGAGCTGAGCTGTAAGGCAAAGCTGTCTGTTTACCGGTCAGTCAACATCCCGACCCTCAACTGTTGTCATGAGCTGTGGGTAATGACCGAAAGAATGAGATGGAGGATACAAGCGGTGGAAATGAGATTTCTTCGCAAGGTGGCGGTGAGGAGCTCAGTCATCCGGGAGGAGCTCAAAGTAGAGTTGCTACTCCTCCGCTTTGAGAGGAGCCAGTTGAGGTGGTTCGGACATCTGATCAGGATGTCCCTTGGACGCCTCCCGGGGTGGTTTAACAGGCACAGCCTACTGGGACGAGACCCCGAGGTTGTCCCAGGACCCGCTAGAGGATTTATATCTCCAAGTTGGCCTGGGAGAGGCTCAGCGTCCCTCGGAAGGAGCTGGAGGAAGTTGCGGGGGACATGGTCATCTGGGATTCTCTGGGATTCTCTGCTCTCCAGACACGACCCTATCTGGATTAAGCGGTTTTAAGATGATGATGATGATGATGATGATGATGACTTCTATCACAAAAGAATAGCTCAGCCGCTTTGCATTGAAGCCCCTGTAGTTACTTAAAAAATAAGCCTGGGATTTTAAGAGGTTAAAGCTTTGTGTGTGAGACAAACCACATCAGCCTTGTGATTGGTGAGGATACTACTTAGGTTTTGAGTGTTGGTGAAATATACTGGCCATTTATTGGACACTGGAAATCTTTCTGCATTGAAGGATCACATTTGCCTGGGTAAGTGACTCATAGCAGTCTTTAATGTGACTAAACCTGTGCCCTGAAATGACCTACAACGCTACATGAATGATCCACATTCATCGTCAACAACAACAACGAACGAATGAGCAGCACAAGCCTTCATCGAAAAGATCCTCGGCTCATAACAGCTCTCAGCTGTTCATGATTAGGCAAGCAGGTGAAGGAAGGTCAGATGATTCAATGTTTTTGCAAAAACTGCAACTTAGCCGCAGCTGTCGCTCTGGATGGAGGGTGGCAGTTAAGAGGCTTTTTGCCATCTCGTCTAGCGTGATTTCAAAATTGAGAAAAGGGAGTTCGCTTTACATGGTTACCAAATAAGTGAACACAGTGCATATTTTTCAAGCTATCATTCAAGAAATGTTAAATCAGCAACTGATAAATGTTAAACAGTGCTGCTAACTAGGAGAGAGGAGCTGGCATTAACTTCATTACCATGCTAACAGCTCTGCCCACTAGAAACAGTGATTAAAATCTGAGGGAAGTTAAGCAACAGAAGTTGAACCTGTTCTGCGGTGTTAGGATTTGTAGCGTAATAGGCTACCTTAACCGAGCTTAGCAAGCAGGCTGTAGACCCAAAGAGTGTCACCCGTCACAGTACAGGCTTGATTCTGAAAACTGGTGCTCTGTTGAGATGATGAAAGTCAAACCTGTTCTGTGATATTTGGGAGAGAGCTTAGTTAACAGGCCAAATGGGCCACCACAGCTCAGGCTTGCTTGTAGTGAACTGATGCTAAAGTGAGTTCGCTGGTCACCCGGCCGGGGGAATCAAACCCAGGCACTTCTTGTTGGGGGCGCCGCTGTGTCTCCCCCAACCCTGTTCATAGATTTGTATTCAGCCTGTGTCACAAACTACCTTTTTAAACAAGAAAACACATGATAGGAAATTTTTACTGTTACTCTGATTAAGCAGAACAGTAAGAACTTACCAATCTGAATTGCGCTCTGAATGAGCTTTCATGCTTGTTCAGAAAAAAACTCAGTGCATCCAAGAACTAGAATTACTCCATTTCTACACGCTGATGCATTTTACTCTGTACAGTGTGGAAATGCATGAACTATAGTTCTTATAGGAGATTTAAACAGGTTCAAGAGGCCAGATTCTCAGAAAGGATGCTTGGTTCCGCAGCGTTAAGGCAAAAGATTGGATTTGGCCACACGTGTAAAATAAATAAGTAAATAAAAAAAAATAAAAACTTTTATTACTTTTACTGTGAATTTTCCACTACTGTAAAAATAGTGTATTGGTTATATTTCCTTCAGTCACATTTAATTTAAAAATGAATCTGAATTGTGCAAAAATCTTTAAAGCGTATCAGATTGTGGTGAAATTTGAGACTTTGTGAGTTAATAGGTGGGCTATTACGTGTAGCTCTTGCAGGTGAAGTGGTGAATTTCTCTCTCTCGCTCTCTCTCTCTCTGTGTCTCTCTGTCTCTTTCTGTCTCTTCAGGTCTTCTCGGTCTTGGAGTCCACTTACCAGCACGACAGTTTGAGGTATTTGCTGGATTTCTTCATCCCGGCCAAACATCTTCTGCACCGACTCCAGCAACATGCCTGTGTAAGTGCTCACACAGTCGCTTTCTCGCACAAGCTCACTTGTTCACAAAGAGAATCCACATAGCAAAGCCTTCTTCACAGATTCACTCGCGGTGTTCACTTCACTCGCTTGCTCATTAACTCTACAGCCACTCAAGGCAGTGTTAAACTGATTAAACTATAGACTTATAATTGGCCAGCACTTTTCCAAGATTAAAATGCGTGTAGAATGGGGAACATACTGAACAATGCATGGCAGTGGTACTAGAGGACCAGGGTTGGACATTCTATTCTATTCTAAACTAAACTAAAACTTTAGAATTCACGGTTGTTGCTGGCAAAGTTAAAACATAAGAAGAAGATATTTTATTATGATTCAACGATGAAAAGCTGTTGTTCTTGTCTTGTTTTGTAGCAAGAAATCCATAAATGGACATTTTTTACAGTAGTGTTATATTTGTTGTCACTGAAACAGACAGAAATGCAGACTTGAACCCTTCAGTACAGATTGTGAATGAAATGTACACATATATATATAAATCCACTAATACAGTTAAATATTACAGCAAAGCAAAGGTAGGGATGCACCAGTAGGTGGCAGATGTGGGCTGATACCAATATAAAATGGAGAAATTACCTGGATTAGAATTAGGGAGACATATAACATAGAACTGCAGGGCTACAAGTGCAGTAAAATGAATAAAATTTAGATTTAGATTTAGTTTAATTTCGCACAGTAGCCCAGCGTCACCTAAATGATCTGCTCTTTCGGAAGAGAAGGCCTTCAGTCCCCCACTGGGTCCTTTAAAGCAGAACCTCTCAGCCTTTTCCTTCTCATTCTTTGAGTGCGATCACAGAATTTCATCTTTAAAAAGTGAAAACTAGAAAATAGAAATGTGTTCTGTGTTTATTGCTTTAGCTCTAACTTCTCTGCCGTTGTCCAGTAGGTGAGACCCAGTCAAGAACGAGACCTGATTAAGATTTCCAGATAAATATAAATTTCAGATAAGTTGTTCTGGATTATAAAAACAACCCTGACCTGAAGACAGTATTCATTCTTTCAGCTTCACTTTCAAGGAAATCAAAAAGCAACATTGATAAAAATCCAAAAACATTTTATAGTGTAAAATTAGGTGTTAGGGTCCGGAACAGACATCTCCCAATAGAAAGTACCCTAAAATTAAGACTTGTATATATTTAACTGATTACTATCTCAATTAATACCTTGGGTTTAAATAGATCATAATATAGTCTGTGTAAATATCTAATATATGAATACTTAGTTCTTTTTTGATTGTCTAATTAATGGTCTGTGTATGCATGTTGTTCCCAATTCCTTCATACGGACACATACAAACACTTACAGTGCTATTCTGTGCTTCTCATTCATTCCTACAACTCTTTCACACACGTTCTCTCTTATATAAACACTCGCGCTCTCTCTCAGCCGGCTCTGTTTTCATTGTCGCTGTGAGGAACTGGCTGGGACTGCGCTCTGAGTCACGACTATAATTCTTACCATATGTGTGTGAGAGAGAGAGGGAGAAAAAGAGGGAGGGAGAAAAGGGGGCTTGGCTACTACTCGTGGGAGAAAGAAGGGAAGAAAGGGAGAAAGGGAATGAGAGAGAGCGAGAGAGAGAGTGAGAGAAGTCTGGGGTTATAGAGGATTGATTGAGAAACGGGGGGGGGAGGGATAGAGTAACAGAACACTGGGGCACATTGAGAAAGAAGAACAGAGGCTGTGGAAGACGGAGAGTGGAACGGAGGGAACGAGGGAGTGTTTCAGTGACAAAACGGAGGGGCGTGCGCCAGAGATTGGGGGGGAATTTACTAGACGGGGTCCAATAAAATGATAAAAGAAGTGGAAAGTCTATATTTGCACTGAAGATATTTTCGTATCTCACTAAATGACCGACGTGGAATGAAAGTGGAGCCCTGTGGATCCATAATATAATTTAGTCTTGTGAGCTGTTTGAACTGATAGAGAGAGAGAAAGAGAGAGAGAGAGAGAGAGGGGGGGGGAGGGAGGGAGGGAACATGTCATTGGATAATTGGACTTGAGCGACTGCAAACAGCACTGCAGAGATTATAGGAGCTCAGAACGAGACTGAGGTAAGAAAAGTCTCTCTTTCTGAGGGCAAACAGGAAAGAAAAAGGGGGAACATTGTTCAGACTGGAGTTGTGGCACCCCTTTAGGTTTGCACTGGAGCTAAAAGGTAATGGAAGCTTATATTTCACAATTAGCACCAGGCACACTTGAATCAAACCGTGCTTATGTAAACTCAGACTTGCTTATGTGGTTTCTGGCATAGTGCTGTCTATAAAATGGACAAAAGTATGTTGCAGTAGTAGAAATCGTGTTGCCTGAACTTTGTCCCTCGCTTAGCTGATTTGTTCAGTGTAATTCATAAAAAAACACAAAAGCAAGTCTGTTTGAGATGACTTAATCCGCAAAGTAGTGTGTGTGTAACGTGTAACGCTGCGTTTATACGGCTCTGGCGCGTCAATGCACCACAACGTATGCCTTTCTTTTTCAATGGGAAGTGTCGGCTCCTTCAGATGCGGCTGCACAGTGCATGATGAGCCTTTGACTTTGGGGGATGCGGTGCGTCGAAATGCTTTCTGCTTGGGCGTGTAAAACAACAATGTAATTTTGTTACAGTGCAGTTTCTCCCTCTCTTTCTTTCAGTCTCAGTATTTGGGCTGTCTGTTCCTGCATTCTGGTTGGCCGCTGTGCTTGGGGGAGAAGGTGGTGGTTCAGCTCTCTACTCTTGACTGGAGGCTCTTGCGCAGTACTGACTTCTACCTGCAGGTGGTGCCATTCTCCACACGTTGTCCCCGCCTGGCCCTTAAGTGCTTGGCCCCAGGTGGCCGCAACGTTCAGGAGGTCCTGGTGCCTGAGTCACAGCACCCCCTAGTGTTCACTGCTGAGTGGCTACACTGCATCAACAAGGAGCGGGGCTGCAAAAGGGAAGGTGAGGAAATGAGTAAACGGGACAGACTTTCCCAGGAGCATAGATTAAGATGAAAAGAATGTGCAGTAATGTTATTTTAGGCATGTAAGATGTAAGGGTAAAAGAACTAAATGGAAATGGAATGGTGGCCAGGGTTACAAATAAAGAATAAAAAAAGTTGCAGGAATGCTATGTTATGCATATACAATGTTCAACAAACAGCTGACATTCATATCTTTTCTAAAGTTCCTTTCTGCTAGTGTTCTTATCTCTGTTATGCTCTTTGATCTTTCTTACCAGGAGGTGGCTGTTTAGATACCTGCCTGGTGAGTACCTGTGACGGCGTGGTGCGTATCTCTTGGGACGAGGTGGTATACCCGAAATTGCTTCACAATCCATCTGACGCTTTATCAAACCTGGAGCATCCCTCTGCGGACTCCCCTGCCCCCAACTACCTCTCACCAACTACAGGGGGTCTGGGGTTAGGCTGGGGCTCTTCCTCAGGAGAGGCCGATTCCTGGTCCTGGGACGAAGAGGACGACTTGCCTCCAGACGGGGGCGAGGCCGAGATCGAGTCTGCTTTGGGGCGTCTGAGGCAAGACCAGCTGGCTGCCGACGGCTCCGGGGATTACGTGGAGCTCCTGGAGCCCCGAGGAGGTCCAGACGGTGGCGCCGATCCCAAGCAGCGCTACCTGGAGATGCACGGGATCTGCAAGACCAAAACACTTCCACTGTGCAGGAGGAGCAAGGCCATCCGGCTGCGGAAAGGAAAGGTCTGGGGGTATGGCAGGACTGATGCTACTGGTAGGACTGGAAGCTTGGGAAGGAGAGACAGCAACAACAGTAGGGGGAGGACTGGAAGCTTGATCAGGAGGGACAGCAACAACAGTGGGAAGGAGAGTGGCGGTACTCGCAGGGATTGGGCCAATTCTAGGCCCCTGCCTCAAGTCATCGATTTGGCTCGAGAACGGCGGCCGTGCCCTCCATGCCTCCAGGACTCAGATGAAGGCGGTACGGATCCAGTTGGTCTGGAAAGCAGGGGACTTTATTTGAAGGGTCCAGTCAAGGAGAGGAGGCCTGGGGTGGGGAAGGAGAGGGAAGGAGCTGTAAGCACATTGCCCTGGGAGGAGAGTCACAAGGGGAGGGTCTCAAATAGTAGACGGAGCTCTGGAGTTGAGGAGATCAATAAAGTTGACATTCATACAGCAGGTAATGCTGGAGCGGACCAATCAGATCAAGATCAGGGACTCCAATCAGACTCTGTTTTCAAGGACAATAAATCACTGGCTGGCACTTTAGATGGTGGACATAAAGCTTCAGCAGAATCTGCCAATGCAGGGACCCAAAAGACTGACACGGCAGCTTCAGATTCTAGGAGACCGTTGACCAACGGATCTGAAACAAAGTTAAACCCACTTAAAGATTCCTCTTGCAACAGGGAGTCAAACTCCACCTCCACCAAACTCCACAGCACAACCAAAGAATCAGGAAACTCCAAAGATGAAACGAGACGTTGTAATGAACACAGGAAGCCAGAAGGAAATCTTTCTCAACCAGGTACTGATAGCGCCTCTGCCGAAAGGCGTGCTGGGAAGTCAGAGGAACGTGTGTGTCCCAGGGGAAAGGAAGTCAAAGTAGCTGGATTTCGAGCACCCAGGTATACCATCTCCAGAGACGGGTAGAGTAGGTGAAAATATACTCAAGTTAAAATCTTTTTAAAACAGAGAGAATTAAAAGTAACTCCCTGAAACCAACGAATGTGAGGAAAAATGTAAAACAAGATTAGCTTTGATTCAAGTTAACTGAATTGTACCGAGTTGCCGTTTTACATCGCGGCTCATTTGACATTTACTGAAATCTAAGATACTCAAGGAGTTGCTTGAGTGATGCCACAGAAGAACCATTTTTGATTCCCTAAAAAACAATGTTTGACAAAGAGACTTGTGAATGTGAAGAACCTTTTAATGGGTTGACGAACCTTCACGTAATGTAAAGGTTCTCTACCGTTTTAGAGTTCTTCCTAGCACCTTTACATTATAAAGAGGTTCTTTAGGTTCTCGCAAATCACACTTACAAAAATGGATCTCAAAAGAACCATCGATTGAATGTTTTTAGGGAACCAAAAGTGGTTCTTCTATAAGTGGCCCCTTCTGCACCTTTATTTTTAAGAGCGAGGACAGTTAGTCAAGGATAGGTGATTACATAAACACATATCTATGGCAATAAATTCCTAGATAACAACATAGACATTTATAGAGACTTATTCCAGTAGAGACTCTCATGATGTCTCTCATAAAGGCTGCTTTTGTCCATTTTGATGTCAAGTTGACGTAACATGTCAGGTGACATAGATTCTTTTCTGACATTGGGTTGTAATGATGCTTTTTTGGGGTGAAATGACATAGCACATTATAACAACTGACTCTTTAGCTTAGTGTGGATCACAGTGACTTTTAGCATTTATAAGAGTTACGCTAATGAATGTCTTTGTTACTTCTGATCTTGTGGTTTATTGTATGTATGCCAGTTGTGTTTACAGTGCAGCAGGATCACCTTTTGGTATTTTTTGGTGTGTAGCTTCTCTAATACTGCTCTCGAGAGTGTTGTGGCAGTGTGTGGGGCCCTTCAGAATTACGGGTGTCCTTGTTGAAGGTTATTTTTAGGTTGATCTTAGATTGTGCTGAGTGCTCAAGAATCGTAAGAACCTTGAGTTTGGTAAATATCAGTGTAACTTGGAACCATTGGAACCAGGTTCTGTGGTGAGAAAAGCTTTTTGGGAACAAACTCGAGAGCGGGGTTGGAAAAAAAGAGAGTTCCCAGGGTGAAGTATGGTGCTGGGTCTGATTTTGTGGGGCTGTTTTCGTCTCAAAGGACCTGAAAATCTCATGGGGATGCATGGCAACATGAACCCCCTCAAATTCCATGAGACTTTAGATCAAAATGTGGCCTTCCTCCAAGAGGCTATCATTTCTATGCAAGAATGATCTTAGATCCCTTTGTAGATGTACGTCTCACCTCACTGCCAACGTTTAAAGACAATGCTCTGTGCTGTTTTCTTAAAAAAAGGGCTGCAGTGCTAATAATTGTGATACATATGTTTTTAATATGAATTGAAACTCATTAATAACAAAGGCCATTACTTCTGGTAGCTGCTGTATTTCCACTGTTGAACCTCATTGATGACATTTGTTCTTGTGTTTTTGTGTTGTTTGATTTTTTGTTTGATTATATTGCTAAACTAAATAAGCAGTCAGGATAGTTTATTTCAGTACTGTTAGTCATCTAGCCTTGGAGAATTAGCTAATGATTCCACTCTTTCACTTACAGGAGGAAGAGGAAGGGTAAAGGGAAAGGAAAGGGCAAATCCGGTGGCCGTGTCAACCATAAAAGCAAGGGAGACTCCAGTCCTTCAAAAACCCAGAACAAAACCAACCAGGTGGTCACCACATCAGACCCAACGGCAAAGCCATCCCTTTCTAAGGATACTCATTCAGAGGAAACCAATAAGCTGGATCAAGACTCTGCGTTAACTAATGGCAAAGAAGCAGAGCCTGAGTCTACTGACAAAAGTGGAGGTTTGTCAAAACTGTACAGTGATAACTGAAGTGTCCTGTATTTTAGACCTGATTTTTCAGGATAATGCAATACGGAATTTGTTTATTTCTTACTAGAAAAACTGGAAGGTCAACCAGAAAGCCTCAAAGATGGTGAAACGCAACCAGGCACATCTTTACCTGACCACTCTACAGAAGAAGAGGGGGCATCAGTACCTTCTGACCAGTCCAAAGGACAATCTTCTACTAAAGCTTCCCCTTTGCTTAGAGATTTAGATGTAGATCTCCTCCAATCAGGAAAGTTCATACTGACAGGTAAATGTGCTTTACCTAGGTTACTTTTCAGCTTGCAGTCTTTGAGTCTTTTAAACTCTCTCTGTATTCATCTATATGAAGGTACTGTGGACAGACTTGGACGAGGGCTGGTTATTACAGAAACACACGCCCCTGAGGAGGGTCACCTTGTCAATGACATTGTGCAGCTGTTGTCCTGTTATTACGCCATTACCAGGTAACTTCTGTTGGATTGAAATGTCTTGGTAACATGCTGCATGACACCTGTATACGCTTGTTATTTCAACTGCTGTAAACTTAAATAAACACTTATTAAAGGCGTTTTTGAATAGGCATTGTCTGTCAAAGGCTGCTTTTGCCAGCTGTGATGTCGAGTAGACATAATGTCTACGTAAGCCTATGTCAGGTGTCATAATTTTTTTTTTGGACATTGGGCTTAGAAGCATCTAGGAGTAACACCAGCTCAGCCACAAAGTGCTAGACCTCGCAGGATCACAGTGTGGCAGAGCGCTGAATTGTGTAGCTTGTAAAAATCGCCTATCCTCTGTTGCCTCACTCACTACAGAGTTCCAAACTGCCTCTAGAGGCAACATCAGCTCAAGAACTGTTCGTTGGGAGCTTCATGAAATGAGTTTTTATGGCCGAGCCACTGCACACAAGCCTAAGATCACTATGTGCAATGCCAAGCGTTGACTGGAGTGGTGTTAAGCACACCGCCTGTGTACTCTGGAGCAGTGAAACGTTCTTTAGAGTGATTAATCACGCTTCACTATCTGGCAGTCTGATGGATGAATCTGGGTTTGGCAGTTGCCCATAGAAGTTACCTATTGAATGCATAGTACCCACTGTTAAGTTTGGTGGAGGGGGGATAATGTGAATGCTATAGCGTACAAAGACATCTTACACATTTATGTGCTTCCAACTTTGTGGCAACAGTTTGGGGAAGACCCTTTTCTGTTCCAGCATGACTGTGCACCAGTGCACAAAGCGAACACCATGAAGACGTTTTGATGGGTTTGGTGTGGGGGACCTCCGGTGGCCTGCACAGAGCCCTGACCTCACTCAACACCTTTGGAATGAATTGGAGCATTAATTGCAAGCCAGGCCTTCTTGTCCAACATCAGTGCCTGAGCTCACAAATTCCCACAAACACTCCAAAATCTTGTAGAAAGCTCCCCGGAAGGGTGGAGGCTGTTATAGCTGCAAAGTGGGTCAACTCCATATTAGTGCACATGGTTTTGGAAGGGGGTGTTCAATAAGCTTGTGTAGGTGTGATGGTCAAGTGCCCACATACTTTTGGCCATATCTTGACACAGTGTTACCAAACTCATGTAGGTGTGATGGCCAGGCGTCCACATACTTTTGGCCATTTCATAATACAGTGTCTCCAAACTCATGTAGGTGTGATGATCAAGTGTCCACATACTTTTGGCCATATCTTAATACAATGTTACCAGACTCATGTAGGTGTGATAATCAAGTGTCCACATACTTTTGGCCATATCTAAATACAGTGTTACCAAACTTATGTAAGTGTGATGGTCAAATGTCCACATACTTTTGGCCATGTCTTAGTACAGCCTTACCAGTGCCTTTATAACAGAAATGCTAACATGCATATGTCAGAAACATGCTACTGATGGATTGAAGCTATTTAGCGTTATGCATATTTATCATATTTACTGGTCGCCATACATCATACGTTCATCGTTACTGCCCGAAGTTTTTCTTCCAGACAGTAATAGTGATTAATTATTGTGCTGCACATTCCTGTACAGTATCCGTTCTCACACAGCATTTCAAAACAGTGCTTTAAAAGCACTCCATGTAAGGGCGCTCCCTGAGGGATGAATTAATTTGTCCACCACTGGGCATTCTGCCATGACCCTTGCTTACCATTAGCCGACTTTTTCAGTGTGGCGTTATTTTTATGTTTTGTTGTTTTCGAATAACAGACCTGCAGCCAAAGAGAAAGGCTTGACTGTGCTGGTGGACAGCAGGCAGGCTCCTCCTTCTGAGCTCTGCATCTCTGCCTTGAAGTTATTCAAGGTGAGACTGTGTGGGTGTGGGTGTGGGTGGGTGTGGGTGCGTCTGTGGAGAGACATATTGCAGGGTTGTAAGGAATATTAAGTGAAATTTGATCATGTTTACGTTCAAATAAATAGGACTTTCACCTGTTTTTTATTCTTATTTCCTTATTTTTACTGAATATTCAAAATAATGTTGGATAGAATATGTGAAAATGAAAATATTCAATATCTGCAGGCGTAATATAATGTTTATAAGCTTATTTCCTAATGTGTTTGTTGATGTGTTACAGGCTCAGGTACCAGCAGCCCTCGGCTCTGTTCTCATTCTCACAAAAGAAGAGCAAGAGTCGGCCACGCCCAGCTTGGATGGGATAGAGGTATGAAATGTTTCTCAAAGCTGTGGAACAAAAATAACGATAAAAAAAAAACCAGCATAAATGAACAGATATTACCAGATTCAGCAGAAGCTCTTAGAAGTCACATTAATCGTCAGCGACGACAAAGTGTGGTGTAATTTGGTATTAATAATTTCTCAGTTGTAGCTCCCTGGAGCAAGCAAACATCATGCTTTCAATCAACATTACGCTCGTACATATCATACTTATGCTTGTAAGTAGAAGAAGACATGTTTTAATTAAGCGAAGTTACTGCTGGAAAGTTATACAGTCTGGTTTTGTGGAAAGAAAAACAAAAACCCTGTCTTTGCCATCTGTTTGTCATTTGTTGACATTGTCAACAAGTCAGAAGTGCAGAATCATTACATAACTATACTGCTGTGGGACTCGAGTCCAGATCCGAGATGTTTATTTTATTGTTTTTGTTGGTAGTGTTTCTATTCTGACTTGGTATCGGCCATTGATTTCACTAACTTTAGCCTCTGGTCTCTACAGCAACAAACTACCACTAAACATTAATGTATATATTAGAGCTGGGCGATATGGCCAAAAATGTCATCACGATAAACAAAATTCATATCGTTCGATATCGATACATATCGCGATAAATGTCAAAACATTATTTCTGATTTTTGCTCCTGGGTGGTTAATGGATGTTTTAAACCATCCTTTATGGTCAGAGCACGACAAACACTCACCAAACAGTGGAACATTTCACTAATCTGTCATGAGAGAGTGGGAGAAAGTGTCTGCTGAGCTGTTTTTACCAGCTGGAAAAGCATGGCTATTTTGTAATGGTCATAATTTAGGAAAGAAAAGAGATTATTTTTAGCTGGTGCCGAGCGCTCGGCTACCCCGCTACAAATGACATCACAGTATTCAGACACCAGCCAGCGACGACTGGATTTCTCTATACTATCGTAGTAGTTTAAGGGGTGAACCGCAAAATATCAACACCAGACAAACGGAGTCCTCTTTTCAGGTACGTTTAAACTGAAAGCGGTGCTTTTGTGTCGTGTTTGATCCACAGTATCATCAGTTCTCTGTGTCGTGTGAGTGACAGTGCGCTACTTCAAGTTAGCCAGCTGCTAAAAACAGCTAGCCTGGAAAGACAGTGCTCTCCTGCTCTCCAATGCCTCAGTTTACTTTTGTTTAAATCAGGGCTGTAATTTACATGAACTCACTTCTTTCTTTTACTTTCGTTGCTTGGGAATGCACTAATACTTAAATATGACTGTCTGAGCGCTGTAACAGCGCTGTAGTTGTGAGGATTGTGATTGTGATTTAACGCTGCTAAAGCTGTTAGGATATACAGAAAGAGGTGAGTTCGCTGTAGGACAGTATAGTTAAACCACTGACCTCGTCACTCACACTCGGTCACAGGAGAGCAGATCGCCGGCCGCTCCACTCAAACAGGGAATGTGTAACTCCGCATTTCAGCCATTGCTAAAGACTCATCTTACTCGTGGCCCCCTCCCTCTCTAATCATGTAGAAAAACTCGGAAGTGCGCCCTCTCCTGGCGACAGCTGAGTAGTCGCTTTCCTTGCAGTAGAAATTGCCACCAAGGCTTTCGCTGATCGTGAAAGTGTGAGAACGGTGTATTATATTGAACATTTATCGAACATGCCGTATCGCTCTATCGAGGAAAAGTTATATCGCGATAATTATCGTTATCTTTTATCGCCCAGCCCTACTATATATATTTTTTTGGGCGTCCTTGGTCAAATGACGTTTTGTTTATTTTTAAGGTGAAAATAAGTTAACACATGCTCTTCAGAGAACATGCTGCACATTTTAGTGCTTAGTGTATTTGTTGAGTTCAACATATTGGATAAGAAAAAAAATCAGATGTGAACCGTGCAAAAGTTGAACTGTTTTAAAAGTTGTATTTTTTCCAATATGTGAAATATCATATTTATTTTTTATGATTTATTATGATTTCAATTTGATGGACTTACTGCTGTGCATACAGTTTAAATGTAAAACTTTAAAAGCAAACAGAACCAAATAACAATATTTAGATTTTTGCTATGTTTGCGTTAATGACTAACGCATTAAAAAGTCAGAAAACTCAAACCTGTCCATACAGAATTAGATAATCTCATTTCAGTTGAGTAGCAAAATGAAAGTAATAACTTTTTAATTCTAGGCGTTAATTCTGTTGTTGGGAATAGCTGAAAAAAAGCCAAGAAATTTAAACTGGAAACAGTTCAACTCCAAATGCTAAGGTTTGCCTTATCTTGACTTAGGCCCAGTCGCCTTGGCCCTACCACTCAGCCCTTACCCCTCCGTTTTGTGTGTTCATGTCTAGGAGTAGGGTGTCCTAATTTTTATTGAGGTAGAGCGGTAGGGTGAAGGGTTAGGGCCACATGGCTTTTTGGAGTTTTTTTTTAAAGACGCATTCCATACAAAAAGGCAGGATGGCTGCACGAGCGACCAGAGAAACCCACAAATGTGAGAATTTTCTCAGTTTAAAAAATGACGATAACCACTGTATTGTCTTAGTTTAATGTTGTTTCAGTGTATTATGGTCCTTTTCTTCATAACAAGCACAAAAAACTCTAATAGTATGCTGATGTCTCAGTAGCTAGCTAGCGAGATTACCCATTCCACCTTAAATAGTCCAGCAGTTCTGACACCTGAAGCGTCAGAACGTAACTGCTGCTCCATTTAAGGTGGAACGGGACAATTCGAACAAGAACCTTGTGAATATCTGACTTCAGCTTCATATCACTGATTAGAATTAGGGGTGGGTGATAATAAATAATTGCCCCCCCTCTTTGAGTGAGGTTACTGAACTTTACCCTCCTCTGCCATCACTGCAGACTGGCAGGGTCACCTACAGAGCAGCGCTAGTAGCTGTTAATGAAGTGATGCTCTTTTTATTTGAGGGTCCCATTTCAGAGGGAAGATTTCAACCACTACCCCTTGTAACTCAGTTCCAAGGGGGAAGGTCACACTCAAAAACAAGGGGTAGACTTAAAAATAAGAAATGGGACTGGGCCTTGGTATCGGCCACTGATAACATGGTAATTAATAACAATAATACATCTAACAGCCCACTGAAGGTTAAGAATGGACCAGATAATAAAAGCATACAATGATTCTAATACTCTCTCTATCCCTCTCTCACAGGTACATTCAGTGAGAGGTACTGGAGTCCTTCAGCAGTATGTGGACAGGCAGCAGCTGACCAAAGGGTTGGATGGAGACTTTGAGCACTCGCATGCTGATTGGCTGACCTTCAGACTGGTGCGAGTTTTTGCATATTTATTGTTAATAGCAATTCAATGCACATAAAAGTTGCACAGTGAAAAGGAAAGTTCCAGTCATCTGTAACTACCAACCCGTCAATGGTTCTAGTAAAAGTGCACTTATTAAGTGCCGTTCACTCCACTTGTCTTCGCTGGACTGAGCAACTGAAGCTTTAAACTGTCTTTGTGTAAACTTAGCACTTCGGTTTGAGGTCTTGCCACAACAGAAGATGCTGCGCATTTAGAAACTGAATTTGGCTGCATCAATAAAAACCGGCAGTAAAGTTAAACATAACTGCGCCCGCACTTTAAGTCGGACCCAGCTGCAGCACGTTGTAATCTGTTCTTGATCTTCTCTGTACAAAGAGCCTGGAGCAGCTGACTGAACGCTGCGAGAGCGCCCTCTCTCTGCTGGGAGACGCACTGCAGTCTATGGACACGGAACCGCTGCCTGATTGTATCAAGGTGGGTCGTGTAGTAATATACCTCGAATATAAAGTGCTGAAATGGCCTAGTTAGGTGTACCAACCGTTAATATTGATCTTTGTTTTAACCCCTTAAACCTTAAGGGCTCAAACGATAATCCACAGTAGAATTTTTTCACATAAATATAGAACTTAGTTCTTACCAAATAATTTGTACTGAATAGTAGGTCTGAAGATTAATAACTGAGTAATAGTCCTATGGTTCAAAGGTTTAACTGCAGTTGTATGAAATAGAACATTCTTAATGGTGCGGCTTCCAAATCTGGGTATAAATCCTGATAATCTTGGCTTTACGATTGTTGCGACAAAACCTCGTATCTCCAAAATGGTAATTTTACAGGAGAAGGAAAAAAGTGTCTTAACTTTGAATGGAAGTTAATGAAGCAATTCATTCAGCTCAATTCATCACAAAATTTTAGCAAAACCTTGCATTTTCAAATTCTGTAAGAAAACATAAAAAAGACCAAAAATAAACATACAAGATTTTGTTCCGACAGCGACGATATATAGAGCAAATCATACTCTAGCCTTGGTTTTCTTACTGTTAGACTCATAGCTTAAGAAAATGAACAGCTGCATCTGAATTTCACATTAACGCATATTTGGCCCTTTACTGTCCCTCAAAAAGTGAGTCAGTCTTGGCTTAAAAAAATAGTATTAGCCCATACTGGTTACATAGCAGCTCATAAGATGCACTTTGTCCTATTTGGTGCAGATATCTTCAGTTGCCATGAGAAAAAACCATTACAGAAACCTGCTTCCTCAAAGTAGTTCAGTGTTTCTTAATCTAGAGCCCAATGTGTCAAACACAAGGCCTGCAGGCCAAGTCAGGCCCGTGACAAGTTCTATTTGGCCTGCAAAATGTTTTTAATTTTCAAGTTTTGAAGTAAGTTAAGTAAAAATGAAATGAAAACACAGCTGAACAGCTGCAGATTTGTGATGTCACAGTCGGTCCAGACATGTTTTAATGGATTGGGTATCAGATGCAAGTGAAGTGGTTTTACTGTAGAATAGCATGTCTTACCTAAATTGTGTGGCTCTGTGTATAAAAATCCAAATACAGGATTGTATCGGTATCGGCCAGTACTCAGTACTGAAGTGCTCGTATCGAATTGGAGGCCAAAAAGCTGGATCGGGACATTCCTAACTAAAATTCCTAAAGTTAATATGCTCAGTTCGTCCTGAATTACCTCCAAATTAAAATCTTGTAATCCGTGTTTAAAATAAGATTAACCTTTGTTAATCCAGATTTAACCTGACGCAACTAGGCTTCGGCTGTTCTTGGAAAGCTGCACCTGTATGTACAGTTTGTTAGCCCAGTATTTGTTTAATCACCTTCCCCTCATAGACCAAAGTTACTCTGTCTGACCAATGAGAGCTCTCTGTTCTGTCTCCACCCCCCCAGTCTGTGCCACTCAGTGTTGACAAACACAAGCAACTCATGTCGAACGTTCTGGCTGACGAGCGGCTGACGGAGCTCCAGCGGAGGGGCGGGGCTTGGCTAGCTGGACTGGCTAATGGAACATCCGGGCTGGCTCAGAGGTCACCAGACTGCAGGTAGCCATAGAAACTTTCCAAATAAAGGAAAATACACTTGGATTCATCTGAGACAGTTTTCCGTCTTTTTTTATGATGATTCATTCGTCCCAGAACAAGTAAGCGGCCTGTGCTTGGCTCTGTCTCTCGGGTTTTGGAAATCTGTCTTTGAAATCCTGAAGTAATTACGAAGATTGTGGTAATTACGTGGATTTCCATGTCTTCTTATTAATATCGTGGGTGTTTTCATGTTTATTAGAGCTGCCTTGGCCACAACCTCCAACCTCTACGACAGCGTTGATGATGCGCTCCATCGACTGGTGCGCGTTTCAAACCAGAGAGGTCACGACTTGGAAGCCCTTGGTAGACTGGCGACTCTAGTGGGAAAACTGGACAAGGTGATCAAGATAGGGCACTTAAATATCTCTGTCTCCATTGGCAAAAGGGATGCACTGATTATACTTGATTTCAATACATTTTCACCTAATGTAAACATATTACCTCAGCATGATTATTGTCAAAAGTGAGTAAAAGTAAAGACGAAATTGTGCAGATTTTATATACAGTATTTTATGTTAAAATGATGCACACATTTGATTCAAGTCTGCATCAAGTCAAAAGCATCATGTTTTTAATTATGTTTTTAGGTACAAAGCACCTCATGGATCTGGCGTGTAGCTCAATCACTCACTCACATTTTGCAGGCTGAAGACTCTCCACAAGGGGGCGTTTTAAGCATTGTAATTTTAAAGGACCCACATCCTGGAAAACCTCGTTTTCCTCCCTTTTTTCAAATATAAGGGCTTGGTGTATTATGCAAAGCTTAGCTTCACACTTAAAAATGATGGTTCTTCAAGGGTTCTTTATTAAAGAACGTGGTTCTATATAGAACCATGAACACTCAAAGAACCCTTTGAATGATTAAAGGGTGCTTTGATGGAGAATGTGCTGAAGATTTTTTGAAAAGGCTTCTATATAGCACTAAAACAGTTCTTCTGTTGTTACAAGCTTGACATCAGAACAATAGAAGAACCCTTTTTGGTGCTAAACAGAACCCTTTTTAAAAAGGTTCTGTATGGAACCATCTACAACATATTCTCCGTTAATCCATTAACCTCCATATTCTCCAACCTTTCACAATGCAAAGAACCCTTTGTTTATCATGCAAAGGGTTCTTTCATGGTTCTAAGAGAACCATTTTCTTGACTAAAGAGTCCTTGAAGAACCATTGTTTTTAAAAGTGTACACAAACAGCCTGTTTTAGAAGGTACTACATACCGCAGTTTAGTCCCACCCATTCACTTAAGTCATAAGAAGTGATTCAGTGCCAGATTTCTTTTTGAATGAGGCACAGTTCAGGGCGGCCAATCAAACCGGACGTTATTTACATATTAAAGGCATAGTAGTGAATGAATTTGGACTGTTCTTGATAAATAACCCACACAAATGTCCTAAGGGGATCTCAGGTTGAAAAAACAGAGGGCGAGAAAAAATGACCAATGCCGTTGGAACACCAGTGGACCTATTGCAAATAGCTTTCGTTCTCTTTCTCTCCCTCAGTGTGAGAAAGAGATAGAGCGTGTGCAGGAGCAGCTGGAGGAGTATAAAGACCCTCCTCTCTCTCTCAGCCGCCTCTCGCTCAAACAGCAGAAGTTCAAGAGCTTCAGGGAGTCTGCCATGGTGAGTGGGGGGCATTTAGAGTGTTACTTACAGAAATAACTATATGTTATGTCTCGTGTGCTCACTTGTTTATGTATGTGGCTTTGTAGGAACTTCACAGCGAGACTCTAGTGGTGCTGGGAGAGGTCGAGAGTTGGTCCGAGCTGGACTGGTCGGGGCTGGGGGCGGTCCTGAACCGACTCCCACCGATAAGAGAGAAAGTTAGAGATATGTCTCATTGTCTGTCTGACTGCTGGACACAACTGGACAACACACAGAGACTACTGTCCACTCTTACGGAGGTACAAAACACACACGCACACTCCTACGCACACTTGGTCATTATAGAAACTACAGAAAATGCATTGCAGAGGATGTTTACAATGTACAGAGTGTGCAGTGGCTGTTATTATACCAGCCAGTTTGCACTGAAGTCCCTGTAGTTACTGAATAATAAGCCTGGGGTTTTAAGGGGTATACAAACAATATATTAGGCAGCCCTGCAGACAACGTACCCCACCTGTGGCATTCGAATTCATTTACAGAAGCAATGCCTCCAAAAATGCTGAATTTGCTAATGATGAACAGAAGCTATTTTGCATTATGCAAATTTAATCAAACTTAGTGGACATTATAAGTGATTCACTGGTTAATTCACTGTTTATCTCCTCCCACTGCAGGCGTCCCAGTGGTGCGACGTGGTCTCCTCCTCCTCACCCCTCTCCTCTCCATCTTCTCCTCTCTCCTCGCTCCCCCCAATTCCCCCGTCCCGATTCCAGGACGCGCGGGCTCTGGCTATGGAGCTGGGGGGCGGGGCTCTACTGGAGCTCTGGGCACAGACCCTGGAGCGCTACCAGCGGACGCTGGCCCACTTCAAGACCCGGGTGCTCCAGGCAGAGCGCGGCCCACCCGCTGCAGCTCAGGGCCAGGAGCCCGGCTCAGGCACGGCCAAGACCTCACGGCTCCCCAGCTCTGGGAGCTCCAGCCTGTGGGAACTGGAGGGAGAGGTAGAGGGAGACTGGGGCAATGGAGGGGAGGGAGGCCTGCAGTCCTGGGGGTCACTCGCTTCAGTGTTCCGGCCACAGAACTGCTCCACACTGAAGATCGGAGAGGAGAAGAAGAAGGAGGCAGCAGGGGGAACCGCAGGAGGAGGGAAGTTCCTGCAGAACCTTCTCAACCCAAGCAAGAAGAGTGTGAGTTTGCCTCGTTTTTTTAACGTGGTTGATCAATTAAATTATTTATATTTTTTGTGTGTGACTGGGTCTCAATGATTAACAGGGGTGTCCAGTCTTATCCGCAAAGGGCCAGTGTGGCTGTGGGTTTTTATTCCAGCAAAGCAGGAGCAAACATGAACAGCTGTTGATGATCAACTGATTAACCAGGTAGAATCAGGTGTTCTCTGGCTTGTTTGGAATGAAAACCTGCAGCCACACCAGCCCTTTGTGGATAAGACTGGACACTCCTGGATTAACTGAGTCAATTTTTGACTCTGTAGTTTACAACCCTCACAGTTCTGAGCAAGAATAAAGCCTATGTTTTCTGAAACAGGCATTCATAAAAGAAGTACTTATTTTGCTGGGAAAAATTGGGTTGAAGTGGGCAGGGTGGGTACTACTGCTGCTCTTAGCTTATAGTCGTGCAACAGTGTGAACAGCCCCGGTCAAACTGGAAATAAGTGGAAATAAGACCAATATTTTTATAACAACAATTATTATAATAACTTTTGCACAGGCCACGGTTTATTTAATTATGTTTTTCTGATAGGTTAAATTCGGCAAATGGACAGTAATTGTGCATCAAAATGTGCAGAAGTATGTTCTCTATCAGGGATGAGTGAACTTATTTTCACATATACGAATACATATATGCTGTATGTGATGTCTGATTATTTAAAAATGTGTTAACAGTAAAATAAGAGGTGTTTCTGTTCATGTTCATGTGCATATTTCAGTCAGTGAATCACTGTCTGTGTGGATTATGTTTGTAAATGCATTATATGTATAAAAACTTTATGACTTTTTCTTTTGCCCATAAATTAGTTTTCTCTTTCCCCCCCCTTTCAGCCCACAGACGCTCCTCTCCCTCCCAAGCCTCCCCGTAAGCGCCACCCAAGCTTCGACCTGCAGGCTCTACTTGCACCGCGGCGAGCGGCTGCGACCGTGACCAAGCCAGCGGAGACTCCGCTGAGCTCAGGAAGCCGCGCGTCACCCCTGTCCTGGCTGGGCAGGAAAGCTGTAGCTGACCCCATCCTCACTGCAGGGATGGCAGCGGCTCTGCCAGGATGGAAGGACACTGTTGGAGGAGGAGCGGGAGGAGGGGTGTTGATCCGGGGAGTGGAGGTCAGCAGTAAGGAGGTAGCTGATCATACTGGACTGAGCAGACAACACGTGCTGCTCGGCAGGACAGAGAGAGAGATGGGTGGGGAGAGGCCTGGTACTACTGCTCAGAGGTAGGTGGGCTAGAGAACGCGTGCAGCTTAATCTGGTATGTTCTAGTAGGTAGTTTGTCTAGTAAGAATAGACTCAAACTCTGTTGTACACAATGTCGATCAGCCAAGACACGTTTGGTGTTTAACGTTTGCTTCTTTAACTTCACACTGAGGCTACAAGGCTCGTGTAGCTAATGTATCATAGCTCATAGCTCAAAACAATAGTAGGCCTGTCACAATCATAAGGTCGCCTGATCAGTTATTAAGGCTTAACTTATACTTAACTACTTTATCCTTCATTTTTAAAAAATGCTCCCAGACTTCACTTCGTTTTTAACTTGCAGCCATAAGTGTTCTTTTTCTTTTGCTATCTGCTCACATAGGTATGACACCATCAGCGCATTGCTGCCCTTTTTAGGTTAAGTCACTGACTCTGTCTTGGCTGGACGTCACTTTGAAAAAGTAAACAAAACAAACGGAAACGGAAACGGAAGCTTTGGCCAAAGTTCTGCCAGGAAGACTCTAATGCTACGTCATTCATTCATTCTTCTGACCAATCACGGGCCTACATCTGTCTTTAAAATGACTCGACTTACGTACCTGTTCTGCTGCGTTCAGGTTCCTACGTTTTGATGTTTGTGGACTTCATCATTAATGTTGAATAACTGCTTCAGCCCTAGTATGTTTCACAACAAAGAGATTAATTGGCTGTGTTTTTATCAGTTGAGTTTAATACATGTAAATAACGGAAAGCAGAAAACACATTTATTGATTTAGATCATGGATCTTATGTAAGCTTCAAAAATTGAATTTTAATTAATATTTTTTCATTACATTTTTTCAAAAACGGAAATTTCAATTGTTTATTGCAATGATCTGTATTGCAGTTAATCACTAAGCTGAAACTGCGTGATTGTGACAGCCCTACTTGTTAGCTACGTTTTAGCTTGATTTTAGCTCAGTAATCAGATTTCTCAGTGCATGTGGACTCTTACTCTGATTTCTTTCGGATTTCTCAGTCTGCGCATGCATCAGAACAAACAGCGGTACCGGAAATAAGCAAGCAGTGTTGGCGATGTTGAAACTAACTACATGCTTGACGAATGAAGGATTTAAATATTTTTAATGTATGTTCATATTTTCAGGTAAAGTGGCACGATGTTAAAAAAAAAAAGACGCAGCATGAAGGTTGAGTTTTACATTACGTTTACGTCTCGTCGTCTTCTGTGAGTTTATTGGCTGGTTGCAGAGCAGAAATCTGATTACTGTCTGACTCATGTAGACCCGGAGTTTCCCCGTTATCTGATTACTCAAGTGCGTGTAAACGCGTTGATCGGATTACTGACAGAATCTGATTTTCAGATTTTATCTAATGCATGTAAACACACTCGGCGTCTTGGCTGAGTAACTACATTTTGACTAAGTGGAAAAAGGTATAAGTCTGATTTTTCACCAAACCGTTCCTATATTAACAGCCCGTGTTTGATTTCTCTCCCTCTCAGTAAGCTGTACCTGCAGTGGTGTAGGCTGGTGAGTTCTGAGAGGCAGTACGTGGCTCTTCTGAAGGCCGTAGAGGAGAACTACCTCCCACTGCTGGACAGCACGGACGCACCGCCCTCTCTGAGAGGGAAAGCAGAGTCGCTCTTCTCGAACTGGAGCAGCCTCGCGGCCTTCCACTCGCAGTCGCTCCTCCCTGCCATGGAGGGCGCTCTTTCCCAGACGCTACAACAAACCGACTGCTTCAACAAATTCGTGAGTGAGGTTTTTGTGCCCGTATCTGCAAACTCTCATTACTTAAGAGCTCAAGCCAGACGGCATGCCGACATGAGAGTGATGGTATATGTTGGTATCTGTTGGGTGCGCATGGCTTTCTGAAAATACAAGCACAAACACCAGTAAGCAGGCAGTGGTTAATTCCACAGATGTTTCACAATTTCTGCATAATTCAATCTTTCAGTTGTAAATAAAGTCATTCAGAGTGTTTTGATGTGAAATGATAGTTTGTTTACAGTGGTGGTGATAGGAACCAGGGGTCACCATGACTACAGTGGAAATATAACCATCTTATTTACTATTCAGAATGATTAGTGGACCTACATGTGTCTTCTGAGTTTATATATGTAATGTTGAAAATTGTAAAATTGTGGTAAATCTGAAAAAGAAACTTTGCTTGGAGGATTTTTTTTGCCTTACAATGCCCTACATGAACTCGTGCACCAATATTTATTACTTATTTTATTATATTTATTATTATATTTATGATTTATTATGTATTTAAAAAGTTTTGTAACTCAAAACTGTGATAAACAATGCATCATGCATTGGGCGTCATATTTGTAATAATTTTGTTTAATAACATTCTGCAGGGAAGCTCTTAGAGGCATTGAACGACATCTGGTTCCCTTCACCACCACTGTGAACTACTCTGGGGTGGCAAGTCTCTATAAAATGGGCCATTTCACACCAAACCACTCTGACTTACTTTGTCTACATCTTAACAACTAAATTATGCAGACTAAGCCATACCTGCAAAAATCCCTGTTTGTCGCCAAATTTATTTGTATTGATATTTTTATTTTCCTAATGTTTTTATTTCATTTAAATCTTGTTCTCTTTCTCTCTCATTCATAAACACACATACACGCACTCTCTGACACACACTGACTAATAGAGGGATCAGTTCCTGCAGTACTCCCATTACATCCGTACGAAGCCCGAGCTGGACTCCCTGCTGGTCAGCCAAGCTGCTGACTTCTTCAAGGTGAGCTACTTAATTCACCTGTTTCAAAACGGTCATGTTGACGCTGTGCAGCTGTAAAAGGAACTAAAGAGCCAGCATGTGTTTGGTAATGAGTGTAATGAAGTGGACGGTCTCTGGGGATTCTTGGCTGCGTTTGGATGCTACTGCTGTGGTAGTACCGGTTGCGTCCACTAGGTGGTTCATTAAACTGCTGACGATATACAGATAAAAAGTGGAAGGGACCATAAACCATGATGAGAAGGAAAGAAACAGAAAGGCCCAGTCCTATTTCTCATTTTTACCCCTACCCCTTTTCCAGTTCCACCTTAAATGGAGCAGCGGTTACACTGTGGTACTTCAGGTGTCAGAACTGCTGGACTATTTAAGGTGGAACTGGAAATTTAGCTCCATCCTAACAAAAATTAGGACGGCCTCCCCCTAGATGTCAGCATGCAAAATGAAGGGCTAAGGGCCAAGTGGTAGGGACGAGGGGTGAAATGGGACTGGGCCAAAGCCTTCAGCATCCGGGTACAGGCTACCGTGAAGCTCATTTTATACACTGTTCACATAGATTTCATAGAATAAAACTTTCTTTCGATGTGACTAGGCTGATGTTGTTTATTGAGGTTAGAACAGACACTTGAAGACTTTAGATCAAAGCAGTGTTTGTATTCGGCCAAAAAGACCAAACAGTATACCAAAAAGGTGGTAGGTTTCAGATGAAGTTCTTAAAAATGTACAATTTTATCAAATTGCATTATATTTTATTATTAAAATACTTAAAAATATGTAAAAATAAGAATTTAAAATGTTTTATATAATATAGAAATGTGTTTGCTCTCTCATTGGTGGTGGGGTTTGGGTAGCCTTTCTGGCCGGCCAAATAAAGGGTCCTTATAGGCTGTCTTTGCCTCCTGGGCCTCACTTTGGGCAGCCCTGCTTTAGATTGACTGCCCACTCAGTGTAAACTTCACGCCAAATGTCACCCACTGTGACACCATTTTGATTTCTTGTCCAGTAAACTATTTTGCAGTAGAACATGCAGATTAATATTGATGGAAGTGCAGTGTTACTGTTACCTCTCCAACTTTTCAACTCTGAGCCTTTTTCAAATGTGGGAGTGCAGTAAGTCTATCTCTCTCTCTCTTTTTCTCTCTCTCTCCCTCTCCAGGCGAAGCTGTTCTTCTCCCCTGCTCTCGCCACCGTTTCCTTTCCTCAGTGCCTGTCGGCTCCCACTCAGAGGCTGCAGCACTACTGCGAGATCCTCGAGGAACTGGGCGGTTTAAACCCCGCCCCCGACTCCGCCCTCTCCGTTCTCAGACACACCCAGCGCCACGGAGAAGACCTGCGGGCCAGCGACCTCATCACGGGCTGTCCGGTGAGAATGCAAATGCACAGTGATTATGGATGATAACAGGGTTTGTGAGTTGAATGAGAGACTATTGCATAACAGTGCTGCCCCCTGGTGGTCAGATGGCTGCAAGACAAGGTTCATGTTTGGGTGACTGCAGCTCTCTACCATATGGCACAGTTTATAAAGATATTAATAAAGGCCAGTACCTGACAGAGTGGACTGTTGTGTGAATTCCTACACTTGTGTGTGTGTCTTAGGTGCCTGTGGCGGAGCGTGGGGAGCTGGTACGACAGGGCGAGCTGTGCGTGTGTGTGTGCGTAGGCGGCCGGAGGAAGAAGACCGGCATGAGGAACGTGTTCCTTTACCAGCATTGCGTCATTTTTACCAAACACAAAACTCCCAGCCCTGGACGCAGTGTGTACAGCTTTAAACACTGCATAAAGGTACACACTCACGCGCACCGCACAGGCACACACACACACACACAAACACCTGTATTATTATTGTCAGGACTGTCATGATTCGTTGATTAAATTCAAATACTTAATTAAAAAAAAGAACACTATACTATATAGTATTGAGAGTGAATTCAGTCTGTTAACAGTTACCATTTCACACTGTGTAAGTTATTATTGAATTACAATTACTAACATGACAGGTGATCAAATACATGCAGGACTGTGCGAAAGTTTTAGGCACCTGAGCACGTTGTTTAAAGCCATTTATACCGGCAGTAAGTGTGTTTTACTTGTAAAATCACCAAATATCATTAAAATAAATGCAGACAAATATTAAAAAGGAATAGTAAAGCATTGACTAGCCAAACTGTTGACAACTATAGATACTATTTTGCTTCCTCAAGGAAAGGTTTGGAAATATATAAACACAGTGACATACATCACTACTTTTTATGTTAGTGCTATTTCTGTTTCTTCTAATATTAATGTTTTTGTAAGCAAATAAATGCGTACTGCTACATCTGCTGCCGACAGTTCCCCTCCGTGAAGAGGTCACAGTCGCCTGAACACCAGCCTAGACTTCCACCTGACTCTTAATTAGAGGACATTTTGTTTAGCATTTGATCTCAGAGGACACAACGACATCTCACGAAGTCTTGCTTGGTCATCTGCCTGCAATTCTGTGTCTTTTATTCTATAGTTTTCTTGGTATTTGACTTTGTTTATTCTGACCTCGACTACAAATTTTACGTTGTGCTTTTGGACTGTTTGCTGTTTACTCTTTTGTATGATTGACCTCTCCAGGCCCAGTTATGTTAATATTCTTGCTTGCCCTTCATTAAACTTGCGGTTGTCTTCTACCTTGAGTGTGAAAATGAAAGTGACACTTACTGCCCAGATTAAGAGACCCTTATTAGATTAGTGCCTTTTAGATGCTATTTTTTAGGTGCTTAAAACTTTTGCACAGTACTGTATATATTTTGAATTTTTTCCATCAGTGTTCGGCATGATTCCACCAAGCTGGGTGGGTGAAAGGAAGCACTTGCTTCCCCAAAGTCATGTGAAGCTACTGAATCTTTTCGAACTGCTGCTAATAAAATGTCATTGGGCAGCTCAACACGCTTGGAGGAGAACACTAACTGCTCGATCTGTTACGACAGCTTGGCTGGTGGCTGTGATGTCAGGGAGCTCATGATCATCTCATGAAAAGGCCCAGATTATTGTTTGGTTAAATCCACTTTTATTTATTGCCTTTTTTTTTCTTACTACTCAGTTAATCATCAAAATAATTTGTGGTATATAACTGCTTGTGACAGCCCTAATGATCGTGGTTGCCATTAAGCTACTTATTAATGTAGCTAAATAATGTTATGCCTACCCGTAAACTGAACATGTGCCCATGTGTAAAACGCATTTTTCCAGCCACAACTTGCTATAATGTCAGAAGTTCGTCCTCATAAACATAGCAGAGTAACATACACACTCTGTCTCTGCCTCAGACAGGAGAGATGGGTCTGACCCAGAGTGTCGGCGAGGAAGGTCTGAGGTTTGAGGTGTGGGTGAGACAGGCGTCTCGTACCAAAGACTGTCTCACCCTGCAGGCCGCTTCTCCAGAAGACAGAGAAGCCTGGACCCACGACATCGCCCAGCTCCTGTGGACACACGCCATCCATAACACAGGCAGGTTTTACAGGGCCTGAAATTGATTTTTCAGAATGGAGGGGGGGAATTCCCCCTTAAATTCTTCACATAGGGGGGATTCATACACTTTGGGGAGGGTACTGCTGTTTGCACTAACGGCCAGCCCTTTTGGGTTCCGGTGTTTTTTTTGAACATTATTAAACGTTGCTTTAAATGTCTGCAGGAATTTCTCATATTGTAAGTATAAGATGTGCAGGAATCGATAAAAATGATGTGCAGTTCCCACAATCCTGCACTGACATTCAGGCCCTGGTTGTAACACTCTCACCTTTAGCCTTTTGCATCTAAACACCATTTGCCTCTTGATGTCTTTAACTCCTTGAGTCATCTGTAGTTATGAATAATAAACAGTATAAAAGGTAGAAATAGTGATAAAACTACTTTTAAACCAAAAAAAAGTTCTTAAAATCTTTAGGGCTTGAAACTTAGTAGGTGAGTGTTATTACTGCCGTTTTGCTACAGTGTTTAAATGTAATTACACAATTACATGATTAACTGCATGTTTAGTTGCAGAAGGAATTTCACGTTCATTTTACCTCACTTACCTCAATATGTAATATTCAAATATGTAATCACTATTAATCACATTATATTGTGTCGTTTCCCACAATTAATCTTGTTTGTCTTGTTTGAGCCTAAAGAAAGTCTTTCACTTAAAAAGCAGTGCGTTTTGTTATGGCTATGCAGGTGGACAAAACAAGCTCCATCAGAATGTCTTTATTACTGTCTGCTTCCGCCTCCTCCCACTCGGCAGCTGTGAGAACAGACAGTGGCTTGGTTGGGTGGAGTCCTTTAGAATCCCTTAGATTTGGGAGGTGGACCCCGGCGATGTGCTGGGCTGTCCGCACCACCCTCTGCAGAGCTTTCCGCTCGATGGCAGCGCGGTTGCCATACCAGGTGGTGATGGAGCTGTTAAAATGCTCTCCACGAAATGCTTTGTTTGTGTTGTTAGTCATTTAACACGTCACGAACTCAAACTCTTGTGTTTAGCAAACATTTTCTGTTTGATTATTACTGAAAATGTTATTACCGGCTGTTTGCTGTGTCCATTTGGCAGGTTAGCAGCTTCACATGTGAGATGTAAGAACATACTTCAACACACACATCTCATTTAGCGTCTCCTTCTTCTTTCCGCAAAGTTTCAATAGAATGAGGTTCATTTACTCACTAACCATCTAAAGTTGTGGTTAATTAATTGAGAACTGATCCTCTTAATTAACATGGACTTAAATAATGATGCTTTGCCTTGATTGACCCAGTTATATATGTGTGATTAAGAGAGCAGTGGAAGTTTAATTATATCGTCTGTCAGTCTGGGTGCGAAGCTGTTGCATGGAGACTGTAACTGAGAGGTGTTTGTTGATTTTGTTGGTGAAAAAGTGAAACATCTGTTCAGACCAGCCCGGAATATGAGGTCAGTCTTTGCTCCGACACAAAAAAAAAACATACCACTGTTTATTTGGAGAAACAGTGTGCTGAAAAAAATTGTATATATTTGATCAAACATATCGTAGTGGAATAAATGGAAAATAGCAGGTACACATGATGGGCTGGTGCAGCGACAGGCCTCACAGGTTCAATTGTAAAGTCTTTTATTAACCAGATGTGGGGAGAGTTCTGCTTGGGTTTTACTCTTAAGCCGTAGTATAAGTTATAATGAAGTTGCTTGACTGCTGGACAGCCAAACTGGCCGACTTAAAGGCCTCATATTCTACATCTTGTTTTTTTTTTGTTTTTCTGAAGTACAAAATTCATCATTCATATTTACATCACTCACTTTACCCCTTAGAATTAAACAGACTGTTTTGGTTAGTGCGCCTTTAAGGTTGTAAACGACCAAATTCTGGCCGTTTTGTAAGCGAAATTAGGTGCACCACATTCAAAAGAACGAGCTTAAACGTGCAAAAGAAACTGAAATTTCGAACACAAACAGAAACAATAAACTTCAGCCACTGTCTGCAGTAACAACACCGCTTATAACTTCAGTGTGAATGGCCAGGCGAACATACTAATTAGGTACATTTACTCACTCATAGGAATTTTGTATGGATTTATACTTTCCTAAGTATTTTGAAATGTCTGTACGTTTATTTCTGCTCATGGAGATGTTTGTGAGGAATCGGTGTTCACTCAGTTATATTTTAGTCAATAACAGTTACATTTTGTGTTTAAATACTTAGTGACAGCATCTGTACTGTGTATAATTATATTTTGGACCAAAAGTATCCAAAAATGAGAAGAATAAGTCCTAAAAAAACAAAATACCTGCACCTTCCTATGCTGTTAGATGCTGGATGTGCTAAGAACTTCTACTGTAGCTTCTTAGTATTTGAACAGTTTCTTGACCTCCTGTTTTTCTCTTTGTACTCAAGATGGTTTTTGGAAAGGTACTAGTTATCATTTCATCAAAATAACAATATTTTACTCAAGTGTGGGTTTGGGCTACTCTTTTTTACGGTTTTTTCAGCTTAAATTTCCCATATACAGATTTGTATGGACCAGAATATGAACTCATTTATTACAAAATAACAAGAAAATGACATTATTGTTATTACTATTATTATTATTAATTATTATTGTTATATGGGCCCTTTAAATTGGTTATTCGTTGGACAAGACTAGGGCTGTTTTTTCTTCTCTCTCTTCCAAACCAATTCCCAAGCCCATAGCCAACTGCCCCTTGCGACTTGTCTCCCCTACCGCACAGTCTGCCACCCACGCAGCGTGATGAGGCAGTCAAATGAGCGGCAGATTCTGTCTGTGATAGACACCCTGAGTAGCTGGCAGATCGCTGTGTATTTGAGAGAGAAACCTCATGATCTCATGCCAGTTATAGAATGGTGGACGAAACATGGCAGTGGAATTGCGAGGAATCAAACTTCATATGGTGTACTTTTCACTTTTATAGCCAGTACAGCGTCAGAAAGCACATAAGCAAGTCTGAGATTAGAAGTGTGATGATTTAAACATGCAGTTTTCACAATGCTAATCAACACCTGTAGGCCTCGATTTGAGGGGGGATGCCATGCCCTCCTTTCCATCCCCTTTTTAGAAATGCCATTACCGTACATTTCCAATCATCTTTAACATTTACACATTACTGGAGTTCTTCCTGTCAAATAAACAAGTTCCGATCAGAGCAGAGCTCACATGCACCGAAGGGAGACGTGGATATGTAGAATCGTGCGCTTTCATTTTTAATCGGTTTAGCTATGGAGTGTTTAGTACAGCGTGTTGACCCAGTGGGGAACCGTGACTGTTTGAGCTAGGCCTTCCATTTGGACCATAAAAGGCAAAACCTGATCAAAATATGAAGAAAAACCCACCTCAGTGATGATGCTAACTTCTCTCAACAGCTCTGCAGGGTTCTTTGTTTGTTAGCAGCGTATATTTGACCTGGCAGTTTCACAGTGACTCTTTCAGTTTTCTGCTGCTGTTTAACATTTCAAACAACCTATAGATTAGGCTGCCACTCATATTCAGGCAGTGACATATCTAGAACTTCCAGAAGGCCTAGAGTGATGTTTTTTTCTCATTAAATTGGTCCCGCCCATTGGAAATCAAAACGTGATTGGTTGATTCCTCTGTCACCTCAGAATTATGCTGGTAGTTTGTCTAACACTTTAGGCCTCCTCTTCAGCTTTTGAAGTCAGAGCCAATAGGAGAGCTCTCTTAGCTATAGATATAGATACAGATATATCTATCTCTCTATCTATATATACATATATATATATATATTTTGTTTTCATCCAAAACTTAACAGGGTTGCCAGGTCCGCAGTTTTCCTGCCAAATAGGGCTAGTTTGAAACTGCAGTCATATGAATAAATGATGAAGTTTCAGCGTCTGGTGAACAGCTTTCAAGGAAACTTAAGGCTGGAGATTTTTTGCTGCACCTGGCAACCCTGCCCATTGTAGGAAGGCTAAAAATACAGCAAAACTGCAGATTCGTTAAAAATAAAAACAGGTATGATAACCAGCGTTAACCAACGAGAGATGTTTGGAGTTAAATACGGAATAAAAATGAAATGTATGGATTATCTTAATATTTAGGCAAATAAAAAGAAAATAAAATGCAGCACTGTCAGCGGCATCCTCTGTGTTGCTAACGCTGTGCTCTTGGCTGATATTCTAAATGTTATTGTTCATTGCCGGGGAGAGTTTTGTTAGCGGGAATGAAATGCTGATTTAAGCGGTAACAGGTCGACAGGTTATAGTGAGTCGCTCACGTCTTCCAGTTTTCTTGAGGATGAAAGATTCTCTACGTCAGAGCCGAGCATTTTTGCCAGAAACCACAGAATAGCTCGGAGTCTGAAAGCGGATGCAACTCACACCGGCGCTGACGACAGCAGAGCTAGAGAGGGTGGTTTGTTTTAGAATCTGAAACATTTCAATCTTCAGATACACATAAGTAATAAACTAAATAAGTGCTTATTATAAAAGTGAAAGAGGCTGCAGACACTTGTCGGTTGAGCCCACCATCTGCTACATTAGCTTTGTGCTTGTACTTCAGTACATTAGTGGGCAACTAAAATAGCCTTTGGACACAAAACTGGACTGACTGTTATCTGTACTGCTCATTTTTCATGTAGGATGTTTGCCTGTGGACGTGTAGTGTATAATGTAACTGAATATTTTGCGTGTGTTTGTGTTTAGAGTTGTGCCTGAAGGAATCTCTGTGTATGGGAGTGTCCAGCAAGCTGCTGTTGGATGTGGCAGGCACTCAGGCCTCCGAGCTGGACTCCAGTTTCAGCCTGAATGACAGAGGTAAAATATAAACACTTGCATATTCGTCTTTAAAACTCTTTAAAGGACACTTCCAATGATCTTCTGACAATTTCTGCATAATTAAATCACAAAGACATAAACGAAGTCATTCAGAGTGGTTTGATGTGAAATGGTACACTTGCTTTCTGAGTTTTTGTGATATGATAATAGTAAAATTGTCATAAATCCACAACAAAAAAAAAAGGATTTCTTTGAGAGTTATTCTGTCGTATAACGCCCTTTATGTACCCCTCTGCCATGAATGGATTTAAAAAAAAATACATTTTAGGCTAAAATTTGATCTCAAAATTATCCTAGAACAACATCACAGGGATCAGGGAATAGATTATCATAAACATTTATTGTTTATATGTTTATATGTGGGCGGCACGGTGGCGCAGTGGGTAGCGCTGTCGCCTCACAGCAAGAATGGCCTGGGCTCGATTCCCGGCTGGGCGACCAGGGTCGATTCTGTGTGGAGTTTGCATGTTCTCCCCGTGTCTGCGTGGGTTTCCTCCGGGTACTCCGGTTTCCTCCCACGGTCCAAAGACATGTAGTCAGGCTGATTGGACATGCTGAATAGCCCCTAGGTGTGTGTGTGTGAATGTGTTTGTCTGTCTGTCTGCCCTGCGATGGACTGGTGACCTGTTCAGGGTGTATCCTGCCTTCCGCCAAATGACAGCTGGGATAGGCTCCAGCACCCCACCGCGACCCAGAAGGATAAGCGGTTTAGATGATGGATGGATGAATGTTTATATTGTTTATATGTTACAACTTGGCATTGAATTCTTCAGACGTCTGGTTCCTATCACCTTACTTAATTCTTACTTGATAACGGAGCGTTTCAAATCAAACCACTTTTAATAGTTTTGTTTACATTTTAAAGATGTAATTATGCAGAAATTTAAAAAAATGGTAGTTTAATCAGTGGAACCATGCACTTGTGTGTTATTTAACACTAGTCCAATAAATCCTATGAGAGATACACCAACCAGCCACTGCAGTAACAGTACTATGGAAATGAAATCTGTCAAATAACTTCTGCAGTTCTGTGCATGTTCTGCGTCTCTCAGCTTCAAGTTCATCAGTATTAGTAAAGACCCAAAACTTTGCAAGTAACGTATCTTTTCTTAATTGAAAAGTACAGTGAAACTCTCAACATCTCAATAGAAAGCTAACACCATGATTTTGATGAACAATATCCTCTGACCAACCACTAAATTCAGTACACCTCCTTGTTTCTACGCTCATTGTCCATTTTATCAGCTCCACTGACCTTAATAGGAGCACTTTGTAGTTCTACAGTTACAGACTGTAGTCCGTCTGTTTCTCTGCATACTTTGTCACTCTGTTCTTCAGTGGTCAGGACCTCCATGGACCCCCACAGAGCAGGTACTAATTGGGTGGTGGATCATTCTCAGCAGTGACACTGACGTGGTGGTGGTGTGTTAGTGTGTGTTGTGCTGGTGCGAGTGGATCAGTTTTTAAACACCTCAGAGACGCTGTTGGACTAACAAGGTAGGAGTGTCTAGTAGAGTGGACAGTGAGTGGACTGAACTCCAGCAGCACTGCTGTGTCTGTGTCTGTGTCTGATTCACTCATACCAGCGCAACACACACTAACACACCACCAGCACGTCAGTGTCACTGCTGAGAATGATCCACCAGCCAAATAATACTTGCTCTGTGGTGGTCCTGTGGGGGTCCTGACCATTGAAGAACAGGGTAACAAAGTATCAGAGAAACAGATGGACTACAGTCTGTAACTGTAGAACTACACAGTGCACCTATGTAGTAAGTGGAGCTGATAAAATATAGGAGGTGAACTTAATGAAGTGGCTGGTCAGGGGATACTGTTCATTAAAATCATGGTCATCTTCAGGCTTATGGTGAAATTTTGAAACTTTACTAATAACAGGATGAACTTGAAGCTGACAGAAGCAGATTACACCCAGAAGTGTAAAGTCATTTGACAGATTTCATCTCCAAACTACTGTTAAAAGTATGCATGGAACATCTTTGACCCCAAAGGTGGTTTAAACAACTGGACAGTTTGCGAGACGATGAGTGCTGACGTCACAACAAGGGGTAGTGCGTTCAGCTGTTTCTTCAGTTGTACAGTTTTTGCTGTTGCGCACCAACAAAAAGAACATAAAACATCCTGAAAAGCTCCCCAAACCTTTGATGGGGCTGTCTGCACGTTGTCCACTGGGTGTCTCTGTTGATTTCATCTCATGCTTATTTAGGAATCTGGATCAGGGTTTTCCGTATGGATATGACATAAGATTTTTCCTCCAGCAAAATGAGATCAAATCTTTTTTTATCCCCTCTCAGTTCAGAGTAGCTGTTCAGACTCCTCCTCGGTGGGCAGTCAGAAAGAAGGAGGTTCTCCGGCTGTTGCTAGAGACCCGAAGAAAAGCTCAGCACAGACTGGCCAGGCACAGGTGGGGTCTCAAAATCACGTCCACAGGAGTCTACAGATACACATATACAATATATTTACATATTTACTGCAAAATAAAATGAGAAATCTTTATGGAATATCAAAGTGGCATAAATAATACACTGATTATATTCTGTACAGCTAATATATACAGACACTTTCCTTGTCCATGTATATAATGTACGTTTCCAATTTGATGGACCTACAATCCCGTCTCCTCCGGGCTGCGACTGTTTCTGCCTTTTTCTGTTTCTCGTTCTCTGTCTTTCACGCCCAATCAAGCAAAGATCTCTTTGTTCACATCGTTATCCTTTTGTATTTCTTCAGAACTCATCGCCGTCCACGTCCGTGTGAACATCATCTCAACCACAAACGTTAGTCTCGTTCCTCACCCTTTCATTTTAGGGATTTTGTAGATATCTGCCATTAGTTTTACCTTCACATTCTACTTAATTATTTGTGTTGTCTTTTTAAAACCCGTGTTCAGAACAGCCTCTTCCTTTTGTGTCTCTCTTTGAATAGAATCAAAAGCAATGGACTTTCACTGGATACAGGAACAACTGGATAAACACTAAATTAAAAGAGACTGGACAATGACTCAGCAACAACACAGCACGATACAGTATATCAAGGTTTGGAGGCCATGACACATTCCACACTCGGCTCTGCCGCTGTCCGTCGCTGTGTTGGCAACTGATTTCCAGGTACTGGGGCGTTCAGCAGTGTTTCAGGCTTTCGGACACTGCCGGCTCTAATGGACTAGCTGCTTAAAGTGGCGTGCCAAGACTCACACTCACGGTTCAAAAGATAATATTATGCCATCCATAACTTTGTATGAGGGGCATATGAGACCCTTCTTTTGTCTTTCCTTTCCTTAATCGAAAACATGTAGACATTACACCAACTAATTATAGGCCTAAAGTTATCCTGCTGTACACATGACTTGCTGTTGTCTCTTGATGGCTATTTTTAGACTTTATTCACACACACACACTGGCTATATTGGTACCAACTCAAAGACGCCGACCGCTATTCACCGTCTGCTGATACAACAAGGAGCGTAAAGTTTCCAAATAGCAGTTTGCTTTTTTTTTAAAAGGGATGAAAAGTTCATCTGCACAGAATCTGTAAAGATCAGTTCAAAAGTCGCAGCTGGGACAAACTCCAGTGTGCTGCGTAGCCAGATCATTGCAGCTATTGACTCTTCGGGCTTTTCCTTTGCAGATATTTTTCGCCGTATTAAAGAAATGGTGCTTTTGAGTGGAGCAGTCCAGAGCAGAGCATGTGACATATGCATTTCAATGAAATAAGGGTTTGTTTTGAGGATCTGTGTCTATGCAAGCAGACTGAAACACGATCAGCGCTTAAGGCACTAAAGCTGTATAAAGCTAAGCGTATGTCATTTTACATTATCAAAAAAAAAAAAAAACCTCAGTAAGAATAAATAAACAGTGCCTACTACTATAACTCGTATGTGTGGATGGGAAGGATTGGCAAGTGAGTACAATATGTAAAGCAGCAATACATGTAAAAACAGCAGATACCTTCTAGATTTGGATCTGTGGATTTTACAGCTTCACCCCCAACGTTGCTCTTCCTCAGTGGATGAAAAGACAGAGCTGCCGTGTCCCGAATCGTCCCCAATCACTTCACCCCACATTCGAAACTTTGCATCACTGTGTGGAACTACGGAGGTCCGGAGAGGCCATGAGCCGGTGCTATAATTTTCTAGATTGTTATCTCGAAATAAGGAGTTAATTATGTTGTGATCTCAAGATAAAAACTTTATCTTGAGTTCACAAGATAGTTAACTTGTTATCTCAAGATAACAACCTTGTTACCTTGGGATAACAAGATAATCAACTTGTCTCAAGGTAACGAACCAGAAAATTCTAACTACATTATGGTCGCATAAATAACTTTTGTTATCATAAGATAACAAGATAACTCATTTGTTATTTCAAGATAACAACTTTATTATCTTGAGATAACAAGATAATTAACTCGTTATCTCAAGGTAATAATCCAGGAAATTATAACTACCTTATGGCCTCATAAATAACTTCTGTTATTTCGAGATAACAAGATAACTAACTGATTATTTCAAGATAACAACGTTGTTATCTTGAGATAACAAGATAATCAACCCATGATCTCAAAATAACAATCCAGAAAATTCTAACTACCTTATGGTCTCATAAATAACTTGTGTTATCGCGAGATAACAAGATAGCTTACTTGTTATTTTACGATAACTTTGTTATCGTGAGATAACAAGATAATTAACTCATTATCTCAGGATAGCAATCCAGAAAATTAGAACTTACTTATGGTCTCATAAATAACTTTTGTTATCTTGAGATAACAAGATCACTAACTCGTTATTTCAAGATAACAACTTTGTTATCTTGAGATAACAAGATAATTAACCCAGTATCTCAAAATAACAATCCAGAAAATTATAACTACCTTATGGTCTCAGAAATAACTTGTGTTATCGCGAGATAACAAGATAACTCACTCGTTATTTCAAGATAACTTTGTTATCTTGAGATAACAAGATAATTAGCTCATTATCTCAGGATGGCAATCCAAAAAATTATAGCTCACTTGAGGCCTCGTAAATAACTTTTGTTATTTTGAGATAAAAAGATCACTAACTCGTTATTTCAAGATAACAACTTTGTTATCTTGAGATAACAAGATAATTACCTCGTTATCTCGAAATAACCATCCAGAAAATTCTAACTACCTTATGGCCTCTCACTATTATAGGGAACAGAATTGGTGATGGTAGTGAACAGTCTCAGACTCCACGTCATACGGGTTTGCGATTCCGTCGTATAAACACTATAAACGTGACGCCACCAGTCGACGATAACCGAGTCTGACTGCATGACGTGAGAAGAGCTCACTTCAGTCGCACATGAATCTGCAAACCAATGCAGTGCTTTATGGGTATCGCCCATGTTTAGAGCACACGTTGGAGTGAGCTGGATCTGCCCTGTGTTTTCAGACACCACTACAAAATGGCGGAACCCCAAAATAGTGCACTATATAGTGAACAGGGCAGTTTGGGACACAGTCTTACGTCTTTTTCTAATCATGTAGTGTTGAAGATCTTCGTGTGTGTTGTAACTACATAGTTCATAACTCTGCTGCCTCCCACCCTGCACTATATTAACACCAGCAATACGAAATATGAACACGTTACTCTGCTATATTTGTGTTTCTGATTTAGATAAACAGAACCAGGACGGAACCCATGTATCAAAATGACTCTGTGGTGCTTTGTCTTTTATGTAAATCCAAATTCCTCAACTTTGAAACTTTTAAACGTTTCGTCCAGCAGGTGGTGCTACTGCGCAGAATCGGCTTGGAGACAATGAGTCTGTCATTTTTCAAACGCTCAGCTAAAGGCCAAATCTTTTATTTTCAAGCCAGTTCATTATTGTTCCCTTATAGTGGTGCCGTCCAATGTACAAGAACCTGGCTCAGTATCATTTTTCCTCATGCAGTGGAGAAAAACTGCCGGGCAACATTTCACACGTTGCACGCAAACCCTAACTGTGGGCTACTTGTTTACTGACTCTCACTTCAGCCTTTTCTTCCAGTATGTCACACAGCGGAGCCTCTTGGAGTTGGGAGCTGAGCAGATCTCTCCACACTGATCTGCCTGTTATTGTGTGCTGTTAGTTAGTGCCATATGAATTCACATACCCACCATCTCTCTCTCTCTCTCTCTCCCTCTCTCTTTTTTTCTCTCCCACTGTGTGAAAAGAAGAGATTTTTCCTAGCTCAGTCTATGAGTTGCATTAGGATCCAGCTGGCTTTGATTGTCATGGCAGCTCCGCCAGCCAAATCCAAGGATGGTTTGCATAAGAGGAAATGCTAGGACTTTCTGCTTTTATTCTTTATGAGTTATGTAATTGGCGAACCCCGCCCTTGCATATTCTATTATAGTCTATTAAACCTTGAGCGCTCTTAATCTAGCACAGCGCTGGATTCCACGACTCCTTTCCGGAGTTTCTGGATTCAGCTTTGTTAGCGCTGACACTAACTCTGACTCAAGCACTCATAATCCATCGCGGGACAGTCGAGCCAACTCCTGCTTATAAAGATAAAGTGTTTTAACCCTAAACATCCCCACATCTTCCTTTAGTGTAGATACCGAGATTATATGTGGTCGAAAACAGTAAAAAGCCAAATATATTTTCATCAGGAAGACTCCTGTAATCATGTAACGTGGTCTGGCCGACATTCCGTATGACCTTATCGTGTTTTATAGAAGGGGTGGCGTGCGAGTGTGTGTGTGTGAGTGTGAGCGAGTGTGAGCGCGTGAGAGAGTGTGTGTGCGTGTGAGCTGCATTAGGAATGTAGCGAAGGCTTTAAACCCACACCAAACTCAATCCAAACATACTTTCCACAGTGGGAAATCTGTGCGATTCAGCGCTTTTAAAGCAGCTCGCTCTTCATAACTATAAATATCTTGGCATGATTCATGGTTTTCATTGTAAATAGAAGCATTTACCAAAGAAACAAGGTGCCTCTGTAAGCTACCCAGTTTTGCTCAGTCTTATCATATTGTTTACATTTGTTTTTAAGGCAAAACCTCTTACTAGTATTAATGATGGAACGACTGCATGCCTTGTTGTGTAACATTTACTTTTGTACTTCATCATTGTGTCTGTTTTCCCCCCTGAGAGAATTAAAACTGGAGAAGAACGAGTGCCTTGTTTGTTGCAGCCATTTTAGTGAGCGGGCTAATGACATTTAGCACATATCGCTGCACTAAAGCACCGGGCATTATGGGATACGCACTTGACAACATTACTGACACACTGAAAATGGCAGCGGCTCAGTGACCAATGAAGGGGATCAGATATTTGAGAGAGCGAGGGGCAGGGAAGGGAGAGAGAGGGAGGGAGGGAAGAGGGAAAAAGAGGATCTATAGAGCGCAGTGAGAAACAGGAAGGGGTTTATAGAGTGAAAGAGAGAGAGGGAGAGAGGGGGCAGAAGACAGTAGATAGGATGATGGGTAATGACGGAGCGAGAGGGCGCAGACAGAGAGGCACAGAGAGGGGAGACGGAGAACAAGAGTGAAAGAATGAGAGACGACAGTGTGTGTGTGTGTGTGTGTGTGAGTGGGGGGGGGGTACGTGTAGAGTGAAAAGAGGGGGATGCAACAGACGGAGAAAGAGAGAAAAGAGGAATGCTCAAGAGCAGGGAAGTTTTTTGTCCGTCGAGAAAGCTGAAGAGCGGGTGAGCGAGCAAAAGTGGGGGAGAGAGAGGGAGAGGAACCAAAAGGAAAAGGGGTAGAGAGCAAAGGTTATGGAGGGAGAGATAGAGATAGAGGGAGAGAAGGGGTAGAGAGGAGATGGAGAGGAGTAGAGAGGGAGAGCGAGGGGTAGAGGGGGTATGTTGACAAAGCAGAGAGACTCTGGAGAACAAAGGGAACGTGGAGAGAATGAGCTGGGTGAAACATCAAAGGGATTTTTCGGCCCCGTTACCGGGACAACAGACATTTGCATGCGATTAGCTTTTTACATCATATTAAGGAGGGAAGGGGGCGCGGGGAGGGAGGGCGAGACGAACTATAGATCATAGTGGGAGAAAAAGGGGCTGGTCAGTCCGACTGACTTCTAGGTTGACGAGCAGCCGTTTGTCTTCTCGAGAACCCGAGGGAGAACCCAGTGAGCGACGCTAGGGAACCCGGCACATAGTTCCCAAAGTGTTCTAAAAGGTCTAAGTGTGGGAGCGTTCCAATTCGAGTGGTTCAGAACTATAATTGGGGGGATGTTGAAGCTGATTTTAGTTGCACTGCATCTTATATATCCTTCCCCAAATACCAGACATGCACCTGCTACCCCCCCCCACCCTCTCTCTCTCTCTCTCTCTCTCTCTCTCTCTCTCTCTCTCTCTCAGCTATATGTGATGCCTCAGTGCCCTCAGTATTGTGGCTGCATTGTGCTCCCCAGCGTCGTCATGGCCGTCGCCACGGTGCTATTGTCATGGCGATACTACAGTATCAATACCCTGACACTGCGACAAAGAGACAGCAGCCACTGCCACATCACTCCACCCCTCTACCCATCCCTCTCTCTCTCTCTCCCTCTCCCTCATCCTCTACCCCTCCCAATCGATCCCTCCATCTCTCACTAAATATGTACATATTGATCCCCTCCTGTTGGCCCCCCCCTCCTTCTCACCCTCCCTCTCTTCTTTCTTATCCATCCTTCCATTTCTCTTTTCTCTCACATTTATCAGGCTTCATCTTTTCCACCATTTCCATGCTTCACTCCATCTCTTCTTTCCCCCCTTGTTCTTCATCATCTCTCATTTCATCTTGCCCCTTACTTCCCTCCCTCTTTCTCTCCGTGCCATCTCTCTCTCTCTCTCTCTCCCTCTCCCTCTCCCTCACCCCCCCCTCCTCTCTGCATGTTTTTTTTTTTGTTTGTCTCCGTCTCACTCACTCTCTGCATATTAATTGGTGCATTTCTGCTGCGGCGTAAAAAACAATCAAAGCGTCAGGGGTGGGTGGTGATGCTACTGTATCAGACACAAGCCATACACACATGCACAATACACAGGCACACAGGCTGCAACCGGATACACCAGCACGCAGGAGCACAAAAAAACACAAGTGCATTGTGAATAAATATAATATCAAGTTCACGAAGCGTCCCCGAAACAGTAGGACTGATCATGGATGTGCGCCAGCTGATACCCCCCTCCCCACTGCAAGAGCTGCCCATGACCTATTCGTCTCTATTCGCAGCCTGAGACTGAATAATGGCTTATTAATCAGGTGGCCATTTTGGAATGTCATGTCAAGCAATGTGAGGCAGGGGCTGAGGAAAATGGCACAGAGGAAAGTGTCTCTTTTTATGCCGTTATTCATAACAAGTACTGCGCTCATCACTACCACGCTAACTTGGGAAACCGACAGCAGCGAAATGATCTGAAATAACACAAAGTGAAATACAACAATAGGCAAATAAAGAATCCTAACGACAAATGAAGGAACTTCGTGTGAACGATAACTCGGAATAGGTCGCAAAGCTCCAGGTAGGCCCATTTGAGGAAGGTAGCGCTCTTCAGATCGTTTAGAAGGGATGTAATCCAGCGCTCCATTTCGGTGACAAAAGATGGATTCGCAGTGAAGCCATGGCTGCTTTACTGGAGAAAAAGAAAGAAATAAACTTGGGTGAGACCAGAAAAGAGACAAAGACACTGAATGAAATGACGCCAACGATAACCAGACACTGGATTCAACATACGGCGCAAAGCTCCAGGTAGGCCTACTTGAGGAAAGTACCGCTCTTCATATCATATCGTTTAGAAGGGATGTAATCCAGCGCTCCATTTCTATTTTGAACGCCGACATGTTTGGAATTGAAGATTTGTTTTTATGAATGAATGTTTCACAGATTAGATTGTGAACAGCCTGTCGCTGTTGTTGGAACAAAACTTTGTATCTCCAAAATGGTAACTTTACAGGAGATGGAAAAAACGTACTTGACTCGTAATGTAAGTCAATGGAACCAGACCTCTTTCCAAGTCTTTTTCAGTTATTTCTTCTGGTCCATTCATCGTGAAACTTACACACGATGTAAAGGCCAACATGTATTTTCAAATTATGTCAAAAACTGAAAAACGGAACACAAATGGAGATACGAGGTTTCGTTCTGACAGCAGCGATATTCAAGAGCAGTATTAGAATCTGTGTAGTGACAGAAGATAAAGCTGTGGCTGCTTTACAGGAGAAATGAAGGAAATAAACTGAGGTGAGGCCAGAAAAGAGACACCACTGTGGCAAAACAACAAGGTCAGCGCTGAAGCAGTCAAGCTAACCAGCTCAGACTCAATATTCACCACTGAACTGCCGAAGACTGAGGGGGACAGAGTATTCCGGTTTGATCTAAAGAGCTTCCTGTCATATTCACAGGCCTCCTGCTGATCACAGTCCGACTAAATCACATGTTTTCTGTCCTTAATGTCGCTGAATTCCGCCTTTCTGTGGACTACACCGCTACTCAGGGGGGCTGTGGCTCGCGCGGGCCCGTTCGAACTCTCCTACTGCACCTGCGCGGCGTCACGTGACCGCGACACCCGGGCAACGGCTAAGAGGCTGCCTCAAAAATACACCCGTCCCGGCTCCGCGCGGCTGATTTCAGCTGAACGACTGTGCAGAAACTACCTGTACGCAGCGCCACGCTCGCGAAGAGCGCGAGGGAGGGGCTTTTACACACTCCGGCTAACTTTTACGGCAGTTGTGGACAAAGTTTTCCTCAACGCTGTGGAGTTCTGTGGCTCAGCTTTAGCTTTAGCTTCCCAGACTACGCGCTGAAACAGCGAGCTAAGCTGTCAGGCGCGCAGGGAGTCAGGCTGGGGCAGAAATATGAGGGAAAATGTGGTCGTGGAGGAAAGATAAGCGAACAGAAAGGAGGCGTTAACACATCTCACAGACCTCCAGAGCAGAGCGCGCAACGCAGCCCTGCGTCTGAGAGGAGCTTCACCTTTTAACGGAGCCCGGTTATAATTACGGTCCGCAACCAAAAGCAGCCACATTCTCTCTCTGTCTCTCTCTCTCTCTCTCTCTCTTCATATGTCTCTCTGTCTTTTCGTATGTCTCTCTCTCTCTTTTTCTTTTATTCCTCCCTTTCTCTCTCTTTCTCATTCCAGCCTTTTTCTGTCTTCCCTCTACTTTTTTCCTCTCTCTCTCCCCCTCTAATTTTCTCTTCCTTTTTCTCTCCTTCTCCTCTCTTATTCTCTCTTCCTCTCCAATTTCTCTTATTCCTCCTTTTTTCTCTTTCTCCTCTCTCTTCCTCTAATTTCCTTATTCCTCCTTTTTTCTCTTTCTCCTCTTTTTCTCTTCCTCACCAATTTTCTTTTTCTTATTTCTCCCTTTCTCTCTTTCTTCTTTCTCTCTCTCCATTTATCTCTCTTATTCCTCCCTTTCTCTTTCTCTTCTCTCATTCCAGCCTTTTTCTTTCTTCCCTCTACTTTTTTCCTCTCTCGCTCTCTCTCTCTCTCTCTCGTATTTTCTCTTATTCCTCCTTTGCTCTCTTTCTTCTCTCTCTTTCTTTTCTCTTCCTCACTAGTTTTCTTTTTCTTATTTCTCAATTTCTTTTTTCTCCTCTCTCTCTGTTCCTCTCTAATTTTCTTTCTCGCATTCCTCCCCTTTTCTCTCTCCTCTTTCTCTCTCTCCTCCTCTCTAATTTTCTCTTATTCCTCCTTTTCTCTCTCTCCTTTCTCTTTTTTCTTCCTCACTAATTTTCTTTTTCTCTTATTCCTCCCTTTCTCTCTTTCTTCTCTCTTGCATTCTAGCCTTTTTCTTTCTTCCTTCCACTTTTTTTTCTCTCTCTCCCTCTCTCTTTTGTTCTCTTCCTCTTTCTTTCTCCTCTTTCTCTCATTCCAGCCTTTCTCTGTCTTTCTTCCACTTTTTCCTCTCTCTGTTTCTCTCTATATCTTTCTTCCTTCCACTCTCTCTTTCTTTTCCTGTCCAATTTTCTCTTTCTCCTGTCTCTTTCCTCTCCTTTCACTCGCTTCTCTCTGTCTCTCTCTCTCTCTCTCTCTCTCTCTCTCTCTCTCTCTCTCATTCACTCACTCACGACTGCACAATAAATGGATCTTTGAAAAAAATGCGAGAGAGACGTGCGATAGAAGAGGGGAGGAGGAGAGAGAGAGAGAGGGAGGGAGGGGGAAACGGCGTATGCTTGTATACAACTACCCCGATTTCCATTTTTTCTCCCCCCCCCTCTCTCTCTCTCTCTCTCTCTCTCTCTCTCTCCAACTCGTAATGTATTTAATTCAAGTGAAACGTAATCATGACGTGTGTTGTCATTAATCTCCTCGCCGCCTCTCCCGTAAGTACACCGAGTCTTACTTTCGTCACTAAATATCTGATTAATTTTAAAATTATCCGTCCGTTTGGGCTCCTCGCGCGTTCCTAAAAGGGACGCGGGGCTCGAGCGCGTGTCGCCGCTTCGTTTGCGGGCTCTCTCGGTTCGGTTCGCGTGGCGGTTGTTTGTCGGAGGTTTTCGGAGCAGAAAGAGCGAAATATCCGACGACGACTTGACTTTTTTTGGGGGGGTGGGGGTGGTGAGGGGGGAGGTCGGTAATGGAGGGCTGTCGGTGCGGGCTGAGGAATGCACACCACATCGCACTTTTCCCGGCGCTTTTGAGCGGCGCGCGGGTGTCATTCTTAGGCGTTGTGTTTTTCTCTTTATGTTGATTTGTGGCCGATTGGCGGGGTCGCGCATCCCTGCGAGGGGTAGGCTACAAGGGGCGCGTGCTACATGGTAACTGCGCGCACACTCGCTCACTTCAGTGTGTGTGTGTGTGTGTGCATGTATGTTGCCGGCATGTGTGTGACGGGGTGTGTGGTAGTAGCCTGGGTTTAGGGCTCGGTGCACGAGGCTCGAGTTCCCCGAGGCAGAAAAGAAGGAAAAATGAGAAACGTGGAGTCGAGGAGGGCGTCCGTTTTGATCTGAGCGGCCGAAGTGAGAGAGGAGGCAGTGCTGAGTGCCCAGTAGAATGAAGTGTCCCGAAGTGATGGAGACTCGACTGAAATGAAAAAGTTTGTAAAAAATGAGAGGTGGAGTGAAGCACAGCATGCACACGCACAGTCGCGGTTTTCCCCCCACCCGGGTGCCCCCATAGCCTCACGCCGCTTCAGCTTTGGGCTACAGCAGCGCGAGGAAGTGACACACTGACTCCTGCTATCTGGGCTGTTTTCGTCCATCCGCTGTGGAAGAAGAACCAACGAGGTTCACGCTCGAACGTCACCTCACGCGACTCCATGTTCGAGTGAAAACTCTGGCCAGCAGAGTGTTTCGGTGAGCAGCTCGGCTTTGAAGCGAAGTTTAGCTGCTGAAAAACCCGTAGAAACCATTGGTTCCTGATGGTTTTGCAGCGTGTTTAGGCTTCTTTAATGGCTTGATAAAGGATCCCAGTGGTTAAACAGGTGACCAGTGGCTGATTCTAAATGCATTTGATGCTTTCCTAATGGGAACTAAAGGTGTTCTGCAGAAAACGTGGTCTCTGTTGGATACCATTAGGTGTTTCTGTTGGTTCCTGATGGTTTGGTAGCGTGTTTAGGCTTCTTTAATGGGTTGATAAAGAATCCCAGTGGTTAACCAGGCGCCCAGTGTCTGATTCTAAGTGGTTTCCAAATGGGATTCAAAGGTGTTCTACAGAAAACTATCGGTCTCCATTGGAAACCATTAGGTGCTGCTGTTGGTTCCTGGTGGTTTTGTAGCGTGTTTTGGCTTCTTTAATGGGTTGATATCACAATATAAAGGATCCCAATGGTTTAACAAGTGACAAGTGTGTGGTTCTAAATGGTTTCCAAATGGGACCCAAAGGTGTCCTACAGGAAAACTGGTGGTCTCTTTTGGAAACCATGAAGCCAATTCCCAATTAGAAAGCAAAACCATTAGGTCTTAACCCTAGTGGTCCTTTTTTCAGCAGGGTGGGGCTGCGCCCACAATTACGAGTCCATTCCAGCTCGTCCACTTGTCCTAATGTCACCCCCTCAGAGGAGCTGAGGCTGTGGGCTGACTAACTGACCCCCGCTGCTCCTTCAGAGCTAATAAGTAGCCCAGGGTGCTAATCACGCCAAACGCACTGCACGTTTGCGGCCGTGACAGCCTTAAAGAAAGTTTAGAGAAGGAGGCGTGCTGGCCCGCGCTGGACTGGACTGGACTGGACGGCCAGGATCGATGTGTGTGCCGGACTTGACTTGGGGTGTGTGTGTGTGTGTGTGTGTGTGTGTGTGATGGTGGTTCTGCTGGCAGCGAAATCCAAGATGAACCCCATGATGGCACTTTTCAGCTGCTCCCTCTCTCTCTCTGCTCTCCGTACACGCGTCTCTCTCTCTCTCTCTCCCCCTCCCTTCATCTTTTCTAGCCCACTGAAAGAAAATCAGGAAGAAAATGGAGCGGGACGTTACGGGAGATGACAACGACATCCAGACTGAAAACACACACACACACATTTAGTCCTGTCATCTCTTTAATCGTCGCTCTCACCGTGACCTGTGGCCAAAAAAAAAACTCCCCTCAAACGTCTGTTTTAGGCGCGAGCTCGCTTGTTTGCTGCACGCGAGGCATTATTTATTTCATTAATGTGGCTTTTTTTTAATTGAGATGGCCGCGAGAGGGAAGAAGGGGAGTGAAAATGGTTGCACGTTGTTGACGCGCATGACACGGCGCGCCGAGGAAATTCCTCTCTCCAGAGAGAGAGAGAGAGAGATAAGAGGACAGTCTCCTTAAAGTAAGAAACCCCCCAGAAGGAAAAGTTTCTGGAAATCCTTCACTTAACGGTCTTTGGAGGCTGGTGAGGCACAAAGGGAGTAACGTTATCACGCCCCCCAACACTGGCCTTCTGCACTGCACTACTGAAAACTAAACAGACTGATACACATATATGTGTATAGCTACTTTTGGTATCTCATATCTCCACACCGGTAACTTTATAGGAGAAGGAAAAAGCTTACTTTACTTTTAATGTCAGTGGAACCAGAATATTTTCCAAGTCATTTTGGGCCGTTTCTTTTAGTCCATTCATGAAATTTACAAACAATGTAAAGAGCAACATATATGTATATGTGTGTGTGTGTGTGTGTGTGTGTCTGTGTGTGTATATATATATATACATATATATATATATATATATATATATATATATATATATATATATATATATATATATATATATGTGTGTGTGTGTGTGTGTGTCTGTATATACATATATATATATATATATATATATATATATATATATATATATATTTGTCCTTTTTCAGTTTTTGACTTAATTTCAAAATGCTTGTTTTTACATAGTGTGTAAATTTAATGAAGAAGTAAAGTATGTTTTTTCCTTCTCCTGTAAAGTTACAAGCTTGGAGATAGAAGGTTTTCTTCAGACAACAGCGATACATATATTCTTTAGTAAAGGCACATGCTTCTATATAGAACCATAAACAGTCAAAGAACCATTTGCATGCTTAAATGGTTCTGGTAAAATGGTGAAATGGTTCTTCAGATTGATGGAGAATCTGCTCTATATGGCTCTATATTGCACCAAAAAGGGTTCTTCTACTGTTACAAACTTGACATCATTACAATAGGACAACCCTTTTTTGGTGCTATATTGAACCATTTTCAAAAAGGTTCTATATGGAACCATATACAACAGTGTTCGGGGTTCTATATAGAACTATTTGTCTTTACTAAAGAACCATTGAAGAACCTTCTTTTTTAAATGTGTACAGTGTGTGAGTATGTATATATATATATATATATATATATATATATATATATATATATATATATATATATATATATATATATATACACAGGGTTGGGGAGAAATGTTTCTGTATAGAACCATGAACAGTTGAAGAACCATTTGCATGCTTAAATGGTTCTTTGCATGGTGAAATGGTGAAATGGTTCTTCAGATTGATGGAGAATCTGTTCTACATGGCTCTATATCACACCAAGAAGGGTTCCTCTATTGTTACAAGCTTGACATCATTACAATAGCACAACCCTTTTTGGTGCTATATTGAACCACTTTCAAAAAAGGTTCTTTATGGAACCATATACAATAGTGTTTGGGGTTCTATATAGAACTATTTGTCTTTACTAAAGAACCCTTGAAGAACCTTCTTTTTTAACTGTGTACAGTGTGTAAGTATATATATATATATATATATATATATATATATATATATATATATATATATATATATATATACAGGGTTGGGGAAAAGTATTGATGGTAAATAGTAAATACTAAAGTCCATTAGAGTCCATTACAACACCAGTACTAGGCTTATTATTTGTGAGGTTCCATCATCTCTCAATAAAGTATTGTAACACTGAGATTAATAACTGATCAACACATTGATTTATCAGTCTACTCAGGCTTTAGCAGAGCTCAGTAACACTGAGATTAATAACTGATCACATTGATTTATCAGTCTACTCAGGCTTTAGCAGAGCTCAGTAACACTGAGATTAATAACTGATCGTCACATTGATTTATCAGTCTACTCAGGCTTTAGCAGAGCTCAGTAACACTGAGATTAATAACTGATCACATTGATTTATCAGTCTACTCAGGCTTTAGCAGAGCTCAGTAACACTGAGATTAATAACTGATCGTCACATTGATTTATCAGTCTACTCAGGCTTTAGCAGAGCTCAGTAACACTGAGATTAATAACTGATCATCACATTGATTTATCAGTCTACTCAGGCTTTAGCAGAGCTCAGTAACACTGAGATTAATATCTGATCACATTGATTTATCAGTCTACTCAGGCTTTAGCAGAGCTCAGTAACACTGAGATTAATAACTGATCGTCACATTGATTTATCAGTCTACTCAGGCTTTAGCAGAGCTCAGTAACACTGAGATTAATAACTGATCGTCACATTGATTTATCAGTCTACTCAGGCTTTATCAGAGCTCAGTAACACTGATTAATAACTGATCGTCACATTGATTTATCAGTCTACTCAGGCTTTAGCAGAGCTCAGTAACACTGAGATTAATAACTGATCATAACATTGATTTATCAGTCTACTCAGGCTTTAGCAGAGCTCAGTAACACTGAGATTAATAACTGATCATCACATTGATGAAGTTCAGCGGTTCTAAAGAATCTGAGTTCTTCTTCAGAGTATGTCTTTTTACACCAAGCGCTGATTTTAAAGCAATTAATAAACAAGCACGGATGCTGTTTCTTTTAAAGATGGTACGCATTTTCAAAACTTGGTTAAGTACAGATTCTTAACTTCTGTATTCTCAATATTTGTATTTTGTTACATCCTAACCCTGTAAATACACTTGG